GTCCCGAGCGTTTACTTTAAGAGGATTCGCGCTCAGGTAATCCCAGGCAGGGTACTGCTAACCGGCACCCAAAGCTACCAAACAACTTTCTAAGAGCTGAACCCCCGGGACGTGTACACTCACGGGGACCTAGCAGGGGGTACCACCAGAAAATACTCAGAACACAAGGGACACAAGGGGCAAGAACGAAGGCAGACCCCCCCACCAGGTAGATAAACAAAAAGAAAAAGAAAATCCCGCAAGAGGACAGCGTACCCAAGCGGAACAGAGTCGGCCGCTATGATTGGTAAAGACAAGCTGCACAGTACCCCGCGCCCCACCAGTGCAAACACTGCCCCTTACTCTAAGGCGAACAAGGAAGACAGAACACCCGAGCACACAAAGAGCGGCCGAAAACCAAGCAGTAAACGGCCAAGCAGGGGCAGGACCCAAGGAACTTGTGGAAGGTGGCCCCAAGCCCCAAGGGCAGTACTTACAGGGCACCTAGGGAAGGGAACCCTAGGCGCATGCAGCCCGAGTACTGAAGAATCACTCCCGGCTCACGCACCACCTAGAAAACAGACACCACACTCTAGGTACAGTGCTGAAACAACCACTGGAGCCGGAGCACATAACCATTGCCCATAGCATCAGCCGAAGAACTGATGGGTGGATAGCCGGCGTGGGAGGTCTGGGGCTCCCCCTTCCCCCTCCCGGGGAGGGGGGAGCTGTGCAGACAGCGGCGCGGTGACGTATGACGTCATACTAGTTTCCTTGTTTTCTGTTGAAGAGTTCTATCCACTAGTTCGGCTTAGGTAGCAATTTTCACCAGAATAGGGGTTTGTTTTGGATTGCTTACCTTTCTGGATGCTTGACCCGGTCGATGGCAGACATAGAATGCTTCCAACCACACGGGGGTTTCTATAGGCCATTGCTTCCCTTGCCTCTCTGAGGGGGCCAGGTTCTGGCTCGTGGTCCCCGGTAGGCCCTAGAACTCCATACACATGACTGATGCCAAAGTCTGACATTAGCATATCAGCCGGTAAAGCTCCGGGGAGCCGACGGGGCTCCCCCCAGAAATGTAGCATTTTCAGTGCTTTGGCATGGAAAAAAAACGAATATAAAATGACCTTGATGCACATACAAATTTGAGCACTCCATCACTGTGTGTATTTCCATGCATTCCAGTGCTGACACAATTCTCAGGGGAATTAACTGGGTAGATAAAAACAAACTGTTTAGCACGGGTGGAACACAAACAAGGGAATACAAGTGGAAACTTGGTACCCAAATGATCCACAGAGACATTAGAAAGATTTTTTTCAGTGTCAGAGTCGTTAACAAATAGAATGCATTAAGAATTGATGAGGTGGAGGCAGACTCAATACACAGTTTCAAATGTAGATTTGATAGAGCCCAGTAGGCTCAAGAATCTGTACAACAGTTGATTAACAGTTGAGAGGTGGGACCAAGAGCCAAGCTCAACTCCCAAAGCACAAACTAGGTGAGTACAAGGAAAGCATTTTCTCTCTCTCCCACAACCATATATTCTGAGCCATAATGTCAGTCAGCTTTTCTTTTACAAGCTACATCTTGTATTGTAGGCTTCTGAAAGTTTATTTGTAAATGTTCGCTTTTTCATCTATAGCTTCTGGTGATCATTCCTTTGAACAGACACCAAGTGTGAACTACCTCACATAATCACATACTGTATTTCAAGCTCAAATTTTTCTCTTCATCTTCATTTTAACTTCATAAATGTTTTAGTTTTTTAGTTTAGTTCATTTATTATGCACCCCATACCCATCTTGTGGGCGGTAGTGGAAAGGGTTACAGAGGCACATAATGGGCTCAGGGACTGAACCCCACAATTCATTTAGCTAAGCAAGTTACAATCTTGATGAGCTAGTTACAAAATTCAGTATAAGTCGTCACATCAACAATGGGTTCGAGATCGACAACAAGTACAGTTTCTAAATTAAGCAACTGACATATGTGGAGAGCTAGTGTCACAATTGATATGTTTGTCCTGCACAACCGCCCCCCATCCAGTGGGCAGCGGTGGATAGGTTACAATCCCTCTTAGTTACTACCTACAGTTAGCAAACTGGGAATATTTGGCTAAAATTTCTGGTAGCAGATAATTTTGAATGAAATATTGACACATCGTTGGTACATTGGTTATAGAATTGTCTCTGAATTCTCGTATCTTTTCGCACTCCATCACATAGTGACGGAGGGTGTGCGAATAATTTTGTTGACACAGTTTACATTTGGTCAGATCTACATCGGCAGATAATGAGAATTCCCAGAGATACTTGTAACCGAGTCTAAGCCGAGCAGTAGTAACATCTAGAAGTCTGCTGATTTTATTGGATAAACCATAGATGTGTAGCTCCTCTTGCATGATAGTATGATGATAGATGGAATTACTGGTGTCGATTTCACTTTGCCTCAGATCTACAAGATCTTGTTGAAGTTCTCGGTGTACTGCTGCTCTCAGATTGCTCATTGACAATCCAAGGTTACACTCAACATCTCCTTTAAAGGCAGATTCTTTGGCTAACTTATCAGCTCTATCATGCATTCGGAGGCCAACATGAGATGGAGACCACATGAAATGGACTCTGTTACCATCCTTAATAATTTTGTTGTATTTGTGTCTAGCTTCGGACACGAACATGTTACAGTTATGTCTTAAAGAGTTGAGAGCAATTAAGGATGATAAGGAGTCACTTACAATTAATGTATCAAGTTTGGAAACTTGTACACATTTCAGTGCAAGGATCAAGGCAAATAGTTCGGTCTGAAGGGTAGAGGCCCAGTTGTTTATACGGACTCCCCACTCAAAGTACAAGCTATCGCCCATTGTTAGAACAACTGCACTTCCAGCTGCACCCGTGGGGCGCCATAAATGTACACACTTTTCTTTAATATCCTTAGGTACCATATTCTCTCATAACTCTGAAGTTGATTCCTCCTCACTAAATCTTTACATGCAATTAAAAGCGATCTGTAATTTTAACCGCAAGATTCCATCTCCTCTCAATATTCTCCCTCCTTTCCTGTAGTACAGTGGTCTACATTCTCGACTCACAATCGGGAATCATGGGTCTGATCCCCAGATGGGCCAGAAATGTTCGGGCAAGTTTCCTGTCATCTTGAGGTTATCTTGAGATGATTTCGGGGCTTAGTGTCCCCGCGGCCCGGTCCTCGACCAGGCCTCCACCCCCAGGAAGCACCGCGTAGCAGCTGTCTAACTCCTAGGTACCTATTTACTGCTAGGTAACAGGGGCATTAGGGTGAAAGAAACAGTTTGCCCATTTGTCTCCACCTCCACCGGGGATCGAACCCGGAACCTCAGGACTACGAATCCGAAGCGCTGTCCTCCCAGCTGTCAGGCTCCCCAGGCTGTCAGCTGTCAGGCTCTCCCAGGCTGCTGCCTTTGTTGATCTAGCAGTACAGTACAGTATATAGGTGCCCAGGATTTAGGCAACTTTTCTGAGATGCATCCTTGGGAAGGTCAGTAAATTGACCTAGGGAGGACCTGGATACACACCTAAGTACAGGCTTCGTGTCTCCAACAATGGGTATTAATATTTTATGGGCTCTAGATGTGTGAATAATTAACCCACTTCCATTTCACACCCAAATTCTCTATATGGTCCTGTACTTCTGGTTATCAATGCAACCTGTCCTCTCGCCCAATATGTCACATTTTGTATAGAATCAACACAACCATTAAAAATAAGAGTTATTACCATTACAGAACTGTAATATTAACATTTTCTATGCATCAACCTCCATAAGTTGGGAAGAGTTGCTTAGGTTTGTACATTTGTGGTTAGAAAAACTAATTGCATTTTTTTAAAAGTGGCAAATCTAGAGAATGGGCTGAGCATTACACTGTTCAAACACCACACATATAAGCATCTTCCTCATGATCACGCTTTGTTCCTCAACTTTACAGTGGACCTCACTTCCTGCATGGTTTTTGTCTTCATATAATCAGCTTTTTTCCAGTGTGTATGTGTTATGCAGTGAATAACAAGCTTAGCTTCAATATATGATATTGTGTTAGAAGAATCACTGTCATTGTTATTATGTACAGTACTGTCGCTCTTTATTTTGCACATCTTGAGATTTCGGTGCTTAGCGTCCCCACGGCCTGGTCCTCGACCAGGCCTCCTTTTTGTTACACATCCCCAGGAAGCAGCCCATAGCAGCTGTAACTCCCAGGTACCTATTTACTGCTAGGTAACAGGAGAATCAGGGTGAAAGAAACTGCCCATTTGTTTCCGCCTCCACTGAGAATCGAACTCGGACCCTCAGGACTACGAATCCGAAGTGCTGTCCACTCAGCTGTCAGGCCCCTGACATTTACAAGGACTCATCATAAACTTACAGACATCAGCTCAATTTCTCAATGCCAAATATTACTTTTGAATTTCTCTCTTTCAATTTTCTTCAATTGAAAAAACTTCAATTTTCAATTGAAGTATTATCACTTTCCTATTATTCAGCTCCCCATTTTCTCTTCATGTCTTCACAAATTTGCTCTAACTGGATTAATAGAAAAGATTTTATGTATGTGTACATTGAAAATAATGCCACCATTAAAAGTTTGTCTTGCAACTTTTGTAACTGGTTGATATCTGTGTACACTAGCAGGAGGGAAATCTAAAGAGGAACATGGAATCATTGATGAATCAGATCAATTAATCAGATAAAAATATGCCAGAGAAATTGGTGACCTAGAGAGCGTGCAAAGATCCTTTACTGCTAGGATTCATTCTATAAATCATCTTAATTACTGGGACCAATTAAGTTCTAAATCTGTATTCTGTAGAGTGCAGGCAAGAGAGATATTAAAGGGGACTGGTTCCAAATCTGAACATGGCGATTACATCACATGAAAGCAGTAGCCATGGCAGAATGTGCAAAATAGTGCAAAAATGGCCGGCCTCTCACAATGTTCAAGAGAGCACTTGACAAACACCTCCAAAGAATACCTGATTAACCAGGCTGTGATTTATATGGCAGGCTGCAAGCAACAGAGTCCAACAACCTGGTTGATCAGACGACCAACCGGGATGCCTGGTCGGAGACTGGGCCGACATTGATCCCCAGAACCCACACACAAGGAGTACAAAGTAAAGTATTATACTTACTACATTGTTAGGTTTAGTACCATCTGCATCAGAAGCCATAATGGTAGCCACTAAAGTACCAGGGGGTGATGCTTCCGGGATGGTGATGGGTCGCAGCGGCATGGTAAACACTGGAGGGTTATCATTGGCATCTTTCACTGTCACCAACACTGAGCATGTTGACTGAAAATATGAAAGACAAACAAATACAAATACACTGAATAAGATCAAACCTACATTTGGCAATAACCAAGATCTATAACAACATAATTCTCGCAGTACTATATAGCAATGTGCTGCATGTGCAGAAATGACAGTTTTTCTTCAAGTGTTGCTCAGTGGCCTACCACTAATAAACATAACAGTCTCTACTATAAATTATTGTAAAGCTTCACTCTTAGACTGCACTAGATGGATGTCAACATAAAAAAAAAAAACAGCGTTGAATGTAATGAAACGCCATTTTCTGGGCGAGTCCTGGAGGCTCCCCGGAGGTATACCGGGCTGATATGCATATATTAGATCATGGCATCAGTCAATTCGATTGGAGTTCTTAGCTTACCAGGGACCATGAGCCAGAACCTGGCCCTCTCAGAGAGGCATGAGGAGCAATGGCCTACAGGAACCCCCCATGTGATTGGAAGCATTCTATGTTCTGCCATCTATCGGGTTAGGCACCCAGAAAGGTAGGGGTCCCAAAACAAACTACAGCTGGTTAAAAATTGTGACCAAAAGCTGAACTAGCAAGCAGAACTCCCCAAACCGAAAACAAGCAAACAAGCATGACGTCACCATTGCCACTGCGATGCTGTCTATGTAGTTCCCCCCTCCCTGGGAGGGGGGAGCAAATGTGGGGGGGTCTGGACCTCCCTCTTCCTGCTCCCAGGGAGGGAAGATTCTTCAAAAAAACCAGCGTTGAATGTAATGAAACGCCATTTTCTGGGTGAGACCCGGAGGCTCCCCGGAGCTTTACCGGCTGATATGCTAATGTCAGACTTTGGCATCAGTCATGTGTATGGAGTTCTAGGGCCTACCGGGGACCACGAGCCAGAACCTGGCCCCCTCAGAGAGGCAAGGGGAGCAATGGCCTATAGAAACCCCCGTGTGGTTGGAAGCATTCTATGTCTGCCATCGACCGGGTCAAGCATCCAGAAAGGTAAGCATTCCAAAACAAACCCCTATTCTGGTGAAAATTGCTACCTAAGCCGAACTAGTGAATAGAACTCTTCAACAGAAAACACGGAAACTAGTATGACGTCATACGTCACCGCGCCGCTGTCTGCGCAGCTCCCCCCTCCCCGGGAGGGGGAAGGGGGAGCCCCAGACCTCCCACGCCGGCTATCCACCCATCAGTTCTGAGGCTGGATGTCAAAACACGCGAAAAACGCCGACCGGAGGGAGGGAGGGTTGCCGGGGAGCCTCCGGGTCTCACCCAGAAAATGGCGTTTCATTACATTCAACGCTGGTTTTCTGGGGGGAGCCCCGTCGGCTCCCCGGAGCTAACTACCCACAGAGGAAGGTCAAAGGGACAAAACCGGGAGGCGGACACCACGCACCCCCCAAGGAGGCGAGACAACCGGCAGCAAACGCCAACCCAAGGCGCCACAGCCCCGAAAATCCCGGGAACAACACGAGAACCACGAGCAGCAAGGCCCCTGCACGAACACCAAAAATCCATGCCCGAAAGACTGCAAGGCCACGTCGCCCAGACGGCAGCGAGAGCAGCGAAGCCACGAACGCCACAGGCATGAGGGAAGAACACAGGCAGCTTAGCCACAAGAACACGGCTGACCACCCGGGACACCATCACCCGCGAACCGGGAAGAACAGAACCGGATCAACGCAAAACGCGCTCCGGACCCAAACGCCGTGGCACGCAAACAACAGCAGAGGGCCGCCACTGAACACAAAAACGACACACCCCCGGCCCGACCAACAAAGCACCAACAAACCCTGGACCCCTCCAGAATGCAGCAGCCCCACCCCGCGCCAGAAAAGATGGAGACTGCTGCCATCAAACAACCAAAACGCTAAAACCGAAGGAGCAAGAAAACACAGCGAACCGACCCCCAGAGGCAAAGGCCCAAAGGAAAGAGCCGACGAAAAAACACACCGGAACCGAAGGGGCACTACCAACCGAGGAGAAGACAGAGCACGCTGACCAGAGACCAGGATGGTGCAAGCGGCGCACGAACAGGCCGGAGGTGAAATGACGCACAAGACAGCTGACTAACGGTGCAGAAGCAACACCAAGACCGAAAGCAAGCTGAAGCGGCTCCGCCTGCGCCGCACGAAAAGAGGCGACAGTATGTGGCAAGACGACGGCCCCCAACCCCCACTAGAAAACCAAGCCGAGAGTAAACCAAGCCAACAAGAAGGACCCACCGAAGAAGGGACAGGAAAAGGAAGGACCGCCAAAATACCCCATACTGCCGCCAAGAAGCACGCAGGTGGGACACCTACCACGAAGCCACCCGACCACCAACCGGAGGCGAGACCACGAGGCAGAACATAAGCAGCCCCGACAAGGCCCCCCCGAGCCCAGGAAAAAGGCGGAGCCGCGAGAAGATCTCGGGCGCGACCACCGAAACCCAGGCGGCACAAGGAGATGGAACGTCTGCCGAACAGAAAAACTCCGAAGCATGCAAGCCCGCCAGGAGTTCAGAAACGACGGGTCCGACGCGAGACATCGCAAGAACCCCCCCAAAAAAAATAAAAAACAACAACAACCGGCAGGGCAAGCTAGGAAAACCAAAGAAGGCGGAAGGGTCGCCGCCAGAACAGGACCCGAACCAAGGGGCCCGAACAACTGCAACAGACCGAGACAAAGAAGCACATCACAGGACACAGGCTGACCAACGCCTAAGAACACACGCAGAACATTCCTGCTGCAGAAGAGGCAGGAAGAAAGAGCAGAAGCACAAAAAAAAAAAAAAAAAAACCAGGAGAACAACCAGGGGTGGACAATCAGGCAGGGACAAAAACCCCACGCAATCCCCAGGCACAAAACGGCAGCAAAGCGCCACTCCACAACCGGACACAGGAACAAGGACACGCCACCGTGAAACACGGTACCAATGCTCACGTGCAGCAGCAGCAGCAACAGGCACCACTGCAACATGCAACATGTAAATAGCAACTCCCCTCTGCAAAGGCAGAGAACGGAGCAGGCAGACCCCAGACAGGGCCAACGGAGACACGACAAAACCCTGCAGGCCCAGAAACCTGCACCAGGCGACCGACGGCGGAGAAACCCCGCTCGATACCTGCTGGATGAGGTACTGGGAGCTCTTTTACACCTCAAGCCCGGCCCAAGGTCAGGCCAGACCGGCCAGAGGATGGCCCACCAGGCAGCTGCTAGGAGCAGTCCACCGGCCCACATACCCCCACAACCAGGACGGGCCGGAACTGCCATACGAAAACAGGCCAGTGCGCCCTGGAAGTCCACGGACGAACCAGCAAGAAGGCTTATGCTCGCAAGTAGGTCGTGTAACAAGCACAGACCACTGATGGTAATACAGTGTTCCCCAAAAGTGCCAATAGCACCACTGCACTCCACTGGTACTATCCCGCAAGTTCTACCAGATAGGCGGGACCCAAGAGCCAGAGCTCAAATCCTGCAAGCACAGCCAGGAGCCTCACCAGGTGAGTACAGAACCAACCCTACAACCCCCACACCTCACAACATTAAAAAAGGAGGGTCCCCTGAACGACTGTAGCATGGGTTGGACATGCACAGGAGGGGGACAGGAAGGGGTGATAAAGGGACAGTCACTGGTGTGCGAACGGTCTCAGTCGTACAAAATTATACCTAAATAAAGACAGGTATATGAACACCGCCGCATCCAGCGCCCGGCCAAAAGACGCCAGACCGCAGAAACTCACCTGGCGAATGGTGGCTCGAACTTGACACGACTCAACCGTGCCCAGAAGAACTTGGGAGCACCGCCAGGTGAAGACGCCAGAGCCGGACCCGCAGGAGAACAGGGAGAGGCGAAGGAGGCGGTCCACACCCATGACACAGAAAACCGCGGTGTCCTCCCCACAACTGGGAACCAGGACACCCCTGGCGCAAAGGGGCACATACCGCAGCCAGGGAGAAGAACGAGAGGCGAAGCACTGTAGCAAAAAAGGGCGCAAAACCCCAGCACTGAACCATCGCCCAGACCAAAACAAACTCCACGGCGCATGCGCATAACACGCTGGCCGAACCGCACACCCTCCCTGCGGGAAGGCGCCAGCCAGGACTATTGCACGAGAAAAAGAGCCAAAAGAGGAAGCAGGAACAAGAAAACCGGCCAAAGAAGCAAAGAGCCCAAAAAAAGGGAACCCAAACGGGCGACAAGTAGCCCAAACGGGCGACAAGTAGCCCAAACGGCCGACAAGTAGCCCAACCGGGCGACAAGTAGCCCAACCGGGCGACAAGTAGCCCAACAGGGCGACAAGTAGCCCAACAGGGCGACAAGTAGCCCAACAGGGCGACAAGTAGCCCAACAGGGCGACAAGTAGCCCAACAGGGCGACAAGTAGCCCAACAGGGCGACAAGTACTAGGAGCCGACAGACGTTCCAATAATGCGGGAAGTAGCGAAAAACCTTCCCGTACCCTCGAGAACACAGAAGCCAACACTAGTCCCGAAGGCACACGAAGGCGCAGGCGCACCCGAGATCAAAAGTCACGCAGAACCCCATCGAACGGGGAAACATGACAAAAACACCGTCCCAAAAAGCGGGGGAGGAAACATCCACCCACAGGACGGAACCAACCGACTCAAAGGCCAAGGAACCGAGCCCGGGGAGGGGCCGACGTCCAACAGCACGTACGGCGAGTGGGGAGGAAAAACCCCACTCCGCGTAACCACAAGCCCCGCCTAGAGGGGGATAAAACCCCCCACGGGGTCTAACGGGGCCAAGGCCCCCCAAGTCAGCCCCTCCCCAGCCCCGGGAACCTACACGACAGGCCCCGGGGCCGAGCCGTTCCCCCAAAGCCCCGGCCGTACCAGAAAACCGGGGCAGCCGTGAAAACACTAAGGAAGGGAGCCCACTGGCAGACTCATACAACACGGCTGGAGGAACAGGCCCAAATGCCCCCGTCACTACCCCGGAAGGGGAATTCCCCGAGACTGCCCGAGTCTCAACACCACCAAACACCCCGCCCTGAACCTACAGACGGTAAGGAACCGGATGCAGGCAGGAAGGGTGAACCAGGGGAAAAACGAAATACAACGGGGCAGCCCCGGGGCTCCCGGGGAGGAAACCACGAGAACGTTGCCACCACCAAGGCTCAAGTGCAACGCCCCTGCTGCCCGCACCCGCTTTGTTAGCACAACTGGGTAACCGAGCCACAACGAGCAACCAAACTCGCAGGACACCGGGTCGAAGGTGTCACCGACCCCACAGGCAGCAGACGGAGGCAAAACAGAGAGTCACCCAGAGACAAAAGGTGAGAGCAACCCTCAAACTCGCTGGAAGCGAGGGGGGGGCTCTGGGGTCACATCCATCGGACCCGCGCGCCCCCAGGGGTTTCCCAGGGTCCCGAGCGTTTACTTTAAGAGGACTCGCGCTCAGGTAATCCCAGGCAGGGTACTGCTAACCGGCACCCAAGCTACCAAACAACTTTCTAAGAGCTGAACCCCCGGGACGTGTACACTCACGGGGACCTAGCAGGGGGTACCACCAGAAATACTCAGAACACAAGGGACACAAGGGGCAAGAACGAAGGCAGACCCCCCCACCAGGTATATAAACAAAAGAAAAAGAAAACCCCGCAAGAGGACAGCGTACCCAAGCGGAACAGAGCCGGCCGCTATGATTGGTAAAGACAAGCTGCACAGTACCCCGCGCCCCACCAGTGCAAACACTGCCCCTTACTCTAAGGCGAACAAGGGAGACAGAACACCCGAGCACACAAAGAGCGGCCGAAAACCAAGCGGTAAACGGCCAAGCAGGGGCAGGACCCAAGGAACTTGTGGAAGGTGGCCCCAAGCCCCAAGGGCAGTACTTACAGGGCACCTAGGGAAGGGAACCCTAGGCGCATGCAGCCCGAGTACTGAAGAATCACACCCGGCTCACGCACCACCTAGAAAACAGACACCACACTCTAGGTACAGTGCTGAAACAACCACTGGAGCCGGAGCACATAACCATTGCCTATAGCATCAGCCGAAGAACTGATGGGTGGATAGCCGGCGTGGGAGGTCTGGGGCTCCCCCTTCCCCCTCCCGGGGAGGGGGGAGCTGCGCAGACAGCGGCGCGGTGACGTATGACGTCATACTAGTTTCCGTGTTTTCTGTTGAAGAGTTCTATTCACTAGTTCGGCTTAGGTAGCAATTTTCACCAGAATAGGGGTTTGTTTTGGAATGCTTACCTTTCTGGATGCTTGACCCGGTCGATGGCAGACATAGAATGCTTCCAACCACACGGGGGTTTCTATAGGCCATTGCTCCCCTTGCCTCTCTGAGGGGGCCAGGTTCTGGCTCGTGGTCCCCGGTAGGCCCTAGAACTCCATACACATGACTGATGCCAAAGTCTGACATTAGCATATCAGCCGGTAAAGCTCCGGGGAGCCGACGGGGCTCCCCCCAGAAAAAAGAAAAAAAGGAAATATGATGACTACGTACAAAATTGTAACAAGAATCGATAAAATTGATAGGGAAGAATTCCCGAGACCTGGAACTTCAAGAAGATGAGGTCATAGATTTAAACTAATGAAACAAAGCTACCAGAGAAATATAAGAAAATTCACTTTTGTAAACAGAGTGGTAGACGGTTGGAACAAGTTAGGTGAAAAGGTGGTGGAGCCCAAAACCGTCAGTAATTTCAAAGCGTTATATGACAAAGAGTGCTGGGAAGACGGGATACCACAAGCACAGCTCTCATCTTGTAAGTACACTTAGGTAATTACCAGTTGATTGACAGTTGAGAGGTGGGACCAAAGAGCCAAAGTTCAACCTCCATAAGCACAAGTAGGCGAGTACTGCCATCTTCGAGAACATGATGAAACATCCAGCATATTGCCCCAGTAATCAATGCGAGGTAGCCTTACCCCCCGTTACATACATACTTAGTATATACTGTATATATTATATATTTATATATATGACCATAAATAACCCCCCTAATTTAAATGAAAATAAAGCCTTGAAGAAGAATTTCTGCCAAATTTGATAAAACATCATATCATCAGTTAATTCAATTAATACCTGCCATTTTTGTTTAATTCTCTTCGTGTTTAATTCTCTTATTTAATTCTAAAATAATTCGTGTCTACTTTTCTATTTTCAAACTGAAAAACTGATCTTTGGGATGACACCATTGTCACATACTGATAAGATGTTCTCTCACCTGTGGGCCACCATCTGTATTCTCCAGGGTACCAACAATTATGGTGTGTCTGGGAGAGGCCTCGTAATCCAAGCCCCGGACGGTAGTAATGCGGCCTGTTTCAGGCTCCACACTAAATAGTTTTGAATCCCCATTCACCATTACATAGGTAATCTGAAATTGTAAGCAAATTTTATATTTTTATCCATTGAATTTTATATATAAGAATGAAACAACAGTTCAATTGATAAACATTATTTATCTTGTAATGCAGCACCACTCAATTCATGAGCACTAATTAACAGTGAGGCAACCTACAAAATGTAAACGACAAGTAGACATAGGAACTACAATGAAGTTATTTGCCTACTTACAAAATTTAATAGCATCATATAAAATTGGTGCAGTGCAGGTAAACACAGAAAATGTGCAATTACACCAATACCACAGTCCATTGATTTGAGTGAGTTTGGAGTGTGTGAATTTAGAGATGTACGAATATATTTTAAACAATTTAATTCCAAGTTGCTGTGGGGAAGATTCACTCTTGTGCAAAACATAAGGCTTGCACCAAGGCTGGTCCAGCACTGTGAGAGTTGCTTATATAAGCTATTGTGTTGTGTACATGCGTCGGTACTCTCATGCTTACCCCAAGCATTAGAGATGAGTATCAAATCTGTATGGAGGTGGGGGTGTCTTCCTCTGCACACCATCATGTGTAATATGTGAACATACAGTATCAGTCATAGACACCATTAAGAAAAAGACAGCAAAAATCAAAGCATCTGTGTGGCTGAAAGACCAGAATCAGAGCGCCGTAACTGTTGACTTGAGTTTCACCCATGTAAAGACTTTTGTTATTTATTGATTTATTCTTTTCTTTTAATAACAAGAGAAGGGGGGTACCACATCTAGCTGGAGGAAGGGGACCCATAATCTCAGAGAAAAGCACACACACAATGCATTACAGGTGATTTATGGGTCCCCTACATTACAGTTTCCCTGTTTTGTCTTACCACTCCCCCCCTTCTTTGTGTGTTTTGTTTTGCTTTATTGGATATTTAAAGGTTACAAGTTATACATTGGTGAATGCAATTTGTGATTAAAAGTTCTGGAGCTCTTGAAGTTCCTCTGCTTCCGGACAGGAACTGAGGACACAGCAGGGATTTACCTTCTGGATTACCACACCGAGGCGCTGAAACTGGCAGCTCTTGGGCCGAGCCTCTCAGATACTACAGGAACAAAGATGTATTAACTTTCCAGTTGCCTGTATTTGTTTGATTTTGCTGTTTCCCTATGGTTGGCTGCACTACCTGCTTGATCAGCAATGAGGTGGGTATAGGTGTCAGCGATACCCATGTGTAGTCCCACACCAGCTGTTTGCCTCTCTTCCAGGGGTATATTGTTAAACCATCTGGATGAAGCGTGGGATTGTCTGGGTTTTGGACCGTTATGATGTGTGGTTCTCTCTCTGCTGGGCACCGAGCCGAGGCGCCTCTTGATGATGTCGTTAACTTCAGTGTGTCTTGCATGCCAGCCCTTGGAGCTTCTGCAGCGCATCCTATATTGGTCTGCTACCACCCTGTTGCATATGCACTTTTATTCAGTGTGAATTGGGGCACCAAGGTGAAGGGCCACTGCTACACGGTGGGCCTCTGGATCTAGATACATGCCTGTTGCAGACATGGGCACTATGAAAAAATCTCCTGCATTGGAAAGGGAGGGGCACGCTCTGCTCTGAGGTGGGCTTTCTCCTTATCAGATGTTTTAGCACTAAGCATGGCATCAACTATTTTTTCCACTACTGGGCTGTCCCAGTTGGACTGTGCTTTTTTTTTTTTTTTTTTTTTATCAAAGTTGGGTGTTAGGGCAGCAAGAGCATCCCACTGATTTGAACATTGAATAAAGTCAGGATCGTGTATCTCTTCCAAATCACCCAGAGGTTCTAGTAGGATATCTCTTACAAGGTAATTCAATGCATAGGAGAAAAGGAAGGCTGGTAGAGCAATTTAGGAGGCTGTGTGAACACTTAGGCCACCGAATCTTACGAAGTGTGTTCTTGCTCCCCATTGGGAGTCATCCGATCAGAGGTTCAGGACTTTCCCCAGTATGGACTTCTGAAGGTGACATACTCGTTTAATTTGGACCTCAAGTGCTTGTAGACCAACAGGGGCACCCAGGAGGGTCCAGTTAGGTTGTTTCAACAGTGAGAATGTCTGGAAGAACAGTTTTTATTTGGTACAGTAATGTCCGAGTTGGGGAGGGACTATTTCACATTTGGATGCATTGAGAATGAGGCCTAAAGTTGCTACTTGCTCCTGGATTTTCCTTATGGTAATAATGGTAATAATACTTCATAATGGTACCTGGGATACTGGCAAGAGTGCTATCATCTAGGTATCAGATGTTTAGCTCACTTGTCAGACTATGTGACTCCCTTGATAGCAAAGCAGAAATGAGGGGCTAAGGCATCACTGATGAACTCCTTCACAGTAGTTTATTTCATGTTCCCCAAAAAGAAGCTTAAAGTCACCACTGTAGTACAATTGGATGAATTAGTCTATTTACTTACAAGAAGGTTGAAATGGTTATATAATTAAAAATGTTAGTGATTAAGTGGTAATTTCTTAGCAAAATTATTAACACATTGTTTTAGGCAAGTCTCAAAGCTGACAAAGTTGTTAAAAGCACACATTGAGAATTTACAGTGGTTTACAAGTGAACAGAAGTGCAGTCAACTTAAAATGAACTAATTAAAACTAGTGGACATATTTTAGTTAACATGAATGCAGGTACTTTCTGCATAAATTTAGGTAATGAATATTGTGCATGGAATATTGTACTAGGGAAAAGTAGAAAAAATTAAGAATGCTTCTGATGGAGTTACATTTGTAAACAGTATATAGTAGGGCACTAGACAAACCAGTAGATCAAGGTGGGGTACTTTGGTGAGGAAATTAGGTGCTTCTAGATTTTACTTCTCAATAAAGTACAATATAGGTTGAGAAACTTTCTACTTCATCTGTATAAAAGTAATATTTTGAAATCTTCAAATTTTTAATATTCAGTTATACAAATTAATATTATTGCACCAATACTTGACTACATGCTGACAGAGAAAGTTTTAGTTAGTTTAGTTCATTTATTATGCACCCCATACCCATCTTGTGGGTGGTAGTGGAAAGGGAAAGAACAACTTACTACTGGTTTGGTGTCCGGGTCTGTTGCAACAACAGTGGTGAGGAGAGAATCGGCAACATTTTCAGGTACGGTGGCCTCGTACACCTGCTGAGAAAACACAGGTGGCTCGTCTCCAACATCACTGACCAACACTGTCACTGTTGCTGTGGAAAGGCGAGGGTCAGCTGCACCGTCCTTGGCCGTCACCACTAATAAGTGCACCTGGTGAAGAAATACCACTTGTCTTATTCTCGTGCTGACTGCCACTCACCACCCCTTACACCTCCCCACCATCATACCTTTATAGTATATTTTAACAAAAATAATTAGAGTATAATATTTACCAACCATGAATTGTGCTGCTATTTTCTATACATAACAATATTTCTTACATCATGGGGTTAACCATATTTAAAATACTTTGCATAATCAATCTTACATCCGTTAACATCCGATTTTTATCGTTAACATTTTCTATATTTCTATGCTAATTACAGGAAAACTGACTAACCTGCTGTTTCTCATAGTCGAGTGCTTGCTTGGTTCTGATCTCACCCGTGTTGCTGGCAATATTGAAGGGAGAATTCTCCGGTACAGAATAAAAAACTTCTCCATTAACACCCAAGTCTTCATCTTCAGCCTAGAATGATCATTCAACAATTATGAGATGCATTCCGTATAATCTCATAATTGTTTAAAATATGGAATACACATGATGTTCATAAAGTAACTTACAATATGTCAAGTGAGAGTTGAAGATACTGTAATATTTATTCATAACACAAACACTATTGACTAACATGGCTTCAGTACTTTACCTTGACAGAGCCGACTACAGCATCTTGCTGACCTTCGTCGACCCTGAAGGAGTACGGCAGACCTATAAACTCGGGGTTCTTGTCATTGATATCACCAACGGAAATACTAACTGTTGCAGTGTTGAATACACCTTCTGGATCTTCAGCTTTTATTACCTAAAGAAACATTAAAACACGATAAAAGTACTTGTGGTGCGTGTTAGACCAAGATATTTATTTTGTTCATGCTATTTTATATCATTAGGGATGAACAATAAAATTTAAAACAAATAGATGAATAAATTTATATTGGCATAGAAATACCAACACATGAAGCAGCAAAGAAATATCTAACAAACTAATGTAAATAATTTAAAGGTTTAAATAATCAATATATATCAATAATTTACTACTAATAACCAACGTTTATAACTTCCAAGAGTTAGGTCCATATCTGTCGTTCAGAATTTGACTGTCTTTAGCATCTTTGTTTTGAGTCAGTGAATGAGAGACCAAAAACCATTACAACGTGTGGCAATGCTGATGTGTGACCAATACAACTTCCAACAGTAATGAAAACATTCTTATTTGATTTATCTTGAATTAATTAAGTTTTAATTACAGAACTAGCCAATGAATCAATGGGTGAGGGAGGGAATTATCAGGGCAAAGCACCAAGCCACTAAAAGTATATAGCCCTTTGAAGGGATCAGGATAAGGATTTGGGATAGGACACTGGTAAAGGAATGGTGTCCAACCACTTAGAAGGTCGGGGATTGAATGCCGACCTGCATGAAGCGAGAACGTCGCTCTACCGTCCAGCCTAAGTGGTTGGGCGAATCAATTGGTGAGAGACGATCGAGATGCGTTCCTGTTTCCTACTGTATATTTCTCAAAGTCATTATATAAGGTCATCACAGAACAAGGGGTTTTGATGTACATGTGTCAATGCGAGGGATGAATAAACTGTGAAGTTCCTGGTGACTGGATGAGAGTGGAGATGTTAGCATGGACAAAACAGTAATCCAAGACAATAGTGCATACTTGAATATATATGCTGTTAATAACAAAACAATATTAATTAATTTAATCTTAATTATTTGAGTTCTCAGGCATTTTTATGCATCTCTCTTCCACAGGGCTGGGCTTTCCATCTTGTTTTAGCCTATTCCCCATTGGTTCTCTGCCTAATCAAGTGGGATTCTATACAGTCCCTTCCATTTTGGCTATTGTTCCTGTAATAGCCTCACTTCTGATATTTCTAAGTATCACCCACAAACTGACTTTCTCACAGGATTTGTCAATTGTGCTTACATAGGGCTCCTTCCAATTTAATCTCATTTTATTGGAATAGAAGATGAACGAGTCATAATTACCTTAATTATGCAATAAATTCTGCCAACTTTAATTGGATCATTTTCCCTCTGGGGGGAAGGGATATTTCAGCTTCTGTCATTTGTAGGCATTAGCATGGGCTTCATTCTATCTAGACTGGTTCCTTGGCTTTTCCTCTGCCAGTTTTTCTAGTCGAGGCATTTCTTTCAGCATTGTACAAGTGTTAAAGCTTTGTGGGCCACATCTTTCACCTAGATCCTAAGTGGGCTTTTGTTGTCCTCACCCACTTTCCTTCCCAGTTCTCCATCTCTTCCAGAGATAAGCAGTCAGATGAATGTTACTGGTTTGCGTCCTTCCATCATTCTTAAGTTTTGGAGTCATTAGGGTTACCTTGTTGTCATCTGTATTGGAGGCGAGAAGCATGTCTCTGGATTTCACCTTGCTGGTGTTATTAATTAAATTTTATTTCTGTTCTCTTCTTTAACCCTTAAACTGCACATGGCGTACATATACACCCTGAGTAACATGTCCCACTGTGCGCATGGCGTATATATATACGTCATTGGGTGCCGGGCATGATTCAAATGGTCCGCGGCTACACGGGGTTCACATCAGCTTCCTCAGGGCTCTTGCAAACAGACACAAAGTTTAAAAAAAATCGTGGCAATATTCTCTGGTGTGAGAGCCACAGTACTGTGGGAGCAACCAGGGCTGGCCCACGCAGCATGAGCTAACAGCATTGCTGTTCAGCTTGTGACCACAGCATCACCTAAAAATGTCAAAATAAATATGTAACTGCTATTATTTAGCAATGACAGTATTACAGAAGATCCCTATCTGTGATAAAAATTACCAGGATTGTGATAATAGCAGGATTGTTGTGATAATTAGTGCTGTGTGGGAGGAGTAATGCTGAGGGAGGGCGGGAGATAGTGTCATTTACTGACTGTGTGGCCACCTGTTATTGTCTGCATTCATCATACCAGCTCAGTGGTTTTCTATGGTGAACACAAATATAGATACTTATATATAATGTGTGTATTAGTGTAATAACAGCAAAAGGATTATGTTGGGAGGAGCCATTTGGGTGAGGGAGATGGCGTCGTCTGCATGACTTGTCTAGCTGCATAGAGGGTGGCCACTATGCTCTTTGGGCACCCTACAAGCTTAGGTGTAGTAGAGTGACAGTGCATACAACATGTAGATACTTATATATAATGTGTGTATATAGTGTAATAACAGCACAAACAGTATTGTTGGGGGAGAAATTTTAGTGCATCTGGCCTTGAACCAGTGAGGGAGGCAGCCACCAGCTGACTGTGTGTGTGTGTAGTGACATCTCTTATTGCCTGAACTAACTATAACAGCTTAGTTGTACAGTTGTGGTGAACAAAACGTGTAGATACTTATATATAATGTGTGTATATAGTGTAATAACACCACAAACAATATTGTTGGGGGAGAAATTTTAGTGCATCTGACATTGAATGAGTGAGGGAGGCAGCCGCCAGCTGTGTGTGTAGCGACGTCTCTTAGTGCCTGAACTAACTATATCAGCTTAGTTGTAGAGTTATGGTGAACAAAACATGTAGATACTTATATATAATGTGTGTATACAGTGTAATAACAGCAAAACTATGTTTATTGTTTTATGAACGTAATAATTGAATCACTAATATGAACATCATACTTTTGAGTATAGCGATGATTCACACATTTTATTATATAAATCTATCACACTATACACTATTGAATAATATTACTGCAAAAAACTAAGAAAAAATCAATCAGAGACATTGCATTGAAATAATTAGGTAATAATATCTTTGTGGCAACTCCCACCTGACAGCTCAGGTGACGCTGACCGCCTCTGATGACTGCTCTGTCAACGCCCACATTCTGCCAGACTTCCTCGGCCTATTGCACCCAAAATATGTCACATACGATTTTTTTCCCATGCTCAGGGAATACAAATTAACATTTTTAGAAGACAAAAAATTTTGTTAGAATTTTTTTTCCCAAGGGTGCTCAGGACCCTTTAGAACAGTTAAAATTTTCCTACACCAAACATTTTTAGAAGACAAGAGGTTAACAAATATCACACTCGCACCCACTGAAGGAAATTTGCAACTTTGTCAGCCTTCTTTATTTATGGCTACTATTAGATCTGGAGTTTCTGAAGTTCTCATCATTATCTACTTCAAGGTAGTTCTAATGGTCAGTATATTTAAGGGTCTCTGACAACTCTACATAAAGCTCTTGACTGCTAGTGTACATTGCTCTAGTCTCCAATTGAGAGGCTTCAGCTTTGGATGTATTTTAGCTGGACCAATCCATGTAGACTTTAATGTAATACTTCCTTCTGGTTTAAATTCTGCTTCCCATGTTGTCCAAGTTGAAAAGCTTTGCAAGCTGTAACATTTCCCTCACTCTCACGGGGAAGATTCAACCATGGTTCATGGCCCTCAACTCACATTGCCCCAAATTTAGTCCCCTTTCTGGATCTCCTCCTTTCTCAGGTGACCAGTAGTAGGAAGTGGGACTTACAATGATGGTTCTTATCTCTGTACCACTGTTCACATCTAGTATTTTTAGAGTTTCTACCACCATCTGTATGGGAGACGGGTGGCAGGGATTCTTATTTTCCATTCCCTGGTATCATCTTGGTGCCAGTATGAGGATGCATGGTGCCTCTATAAGAATTTTTTATGTTTTATCAGGTCTCATTTGTGCCAATTCTTGTTGTTATCCTTTGTCATGATTGATGAGCTTATGCCTCATATCACCATCTACAATTTGGCACTCTCTGAGCTGCTCTTGTTTCAATTTTATCTTCATCTGGCATCTCCTCCCTTCGTTAAGCTTAAGGGGCCCTGCTTCTGTCTTAGGCTGGTTCATTTGCCTCTGGAGCCAAGTGGTCACTGGATGTTACACTTAAGGTGCCATTCCTCTTGGGTTTGGCATTCAGGAATTGTGTAAGTGACCTGCATGCCTTCCATCAGGACCAAGATTCCTGGTTATTGTGCCTTGGTAAAATGTTCTTGAGGTTGTAGCAGCCAACTATTGTTCTTGGCTAAGTATGAAGCTCCTGTCTTCCATCAAGATTAAATTCTAATTCAGGAATACTTTATTCACCCGGACTTGTACCACTTAGTTTATCTGGTTATGGTGACATGTCACAACTTCAGGGCATTGGAAGAGTGCTGCATGTCAATCCTGTTTGTTAATCCCTGTATTTTGACCCCATACACTCTCTCCTGAATTAATATCTGAGAGCTATACAGGAAATATGAAACAGCACTGATAGTTTTGTATAGAGAACACAGGAAAATAGCAATTCCTTTAAAACAATTTCATTCCACATTAGGTAAGTAATGAATTTAATTATTGCAGACTCTACCTGCCATGTATGGCAGATTCTACCTGCCATGTATGGCAGATTCTACCTGCCATGTATGGCAGATTCTACCTGCCATGTATGGCAGATTCTACCTGCCATGTATGGCAGATTCTACCTGCCATGTATGGCAGATTCTACCTGCCATGTATGGCAGATTCTACCTGCCATGTATGGCAGATTCTACCTGCCATGTATGGCAGATTCTACCTGCCATATATGGAAGACATCCATTAATGTCACTTCCTGGCTTCTTCCTCTTCTCCCTTCTAAAATATCCCTTCCCTCCTCCTATTTTACTGAAGTGCTTAGTTTTGTGTCTATATAATCCACTAACCATATTATAAGAGTCCAAACTTTCACGATCCAACTGGCTTATTAAACGCATTGTTCCCGATGCTTCTCCAATATCAAAATGATTCAGTTCATTGCCACTAATGATAGAGAATCTTGCTGGGTCACCTTCTGGGTCCAAGGCCTAGAAAGAATATGAAAGTAATTAAAACTACAAGGAAGATTATTTTATAACTATGAGCTTTTGGGACTCTTTAAAAATGGCAAACGTGTGAAGTAAAGAATAGGTCGGGAGAGCACTGGGGGTGCCCTCACAAGCTCAGAGTTTACTGTCCTCTCCATGGCCACTGGGCACAGTGGCCACCAGGTAACAGGAAAATCCAGCATGTGCATGATCATTCTAAATCCAGCCCCAAACATATGAAAATTGATCTTTAAATTACATACATCTATACTCTGTCCTGATATCTAGACAAAATTTCAATATCATGAGTTCATTAATGCACTGTACTCCCAAACACATCCACTAACATTACAAAATCTCTTACAAATTACCCATATAAAAATCTGTTTTTCTAACATAATGAACTGCTATAAGCTATTATATAAAATATATTTTACCTGATATTCCTTAACTGTGGAAAAAACTATTTTCATATACCTTTCCTTTGGTTGTTAAATAAAATTAAATATGAATGAGTAAAAAAATTGGGCTCATAGTTATTACTCCAGAAAATAATAATGGTAGCCATCTTACACAAAACAATTAATTACCTTAAGTGTGAGAATGGCTGAATTAGGAGCAGCACCTTCACTCACAGAAGCAGAGTAACGTGGTAACGAGAACACTGGACCACCAGTGTTGGGACCTCGATTCACCATCACTTCCAATATACTCTGGCTGTATAAGCCACCTCTGTCTGTGGCCTGCAATAAATACAGTTTTATTTATAATACAACAAAGCATGCATTAGGTATTATTATAATAATGTTTATACAATATACAATACATTGAACAAATTAAAGTGGGTTACATAGCAGGTAAACTAATTGTTGAACATGTAAAGCCACTAGTCACGCACACTGTTTTGGGCATAACAAAAATATTTTTGTTTATGTATCAATGGAAGCATTATTAAAAAGCTCTTTAGTCTTTAAACTTTTGATTATATTAAATGGCTAACTTAAACTTTCAAGAACAATCATTGAGTGTTACACTAACTCTTGCAATGAATCATGAAACAAGATGACAAAATAAAATAATTCACTGGTTATTCATTAATATGTTGTTCTGTTTTTCAAATATTGTACAGTATAAATGTCCTGTAGTAGAAATAGACAACCTGTGGAGCATACAATGTATCAGAACAAAAACTAATAATGTTATGAAAAGTTGCATTGCACTGTGTATTTACCTGAATTTACCCAAGGGGCCACTAACATTCTAGTGGCCTTGAGGACAGAAAGCTGGTGGCATGTCAACAGTCCCCCATTTGTCCTGATGATTTTTTTCAAGCTGGATTTTAAAATGTAACAGTGTGTTTGCCTTTACTGCTTTAGCGGATAGGTGCGTGTTGAGCGAGTGTGTGACAAAAGGTGAAGAGAGTGAATTCAAGTAAATTTTATGGTAGGAGGAGGAAAGGATGACTAAAAAGATTTATGGCATGTGTGTGAGATAGAATGGATTGATTGCGAACAGCACACAAATAACAATGCTAGTTCTCCAGGATTCTCCATTTACAATCACATTTGCAGCTTTTTTCTCAGTGATAATGTGAGGAAGCTTGGCAGGCCTTGTGTCTCTTCCTTTCTCTGCTACATCTGCCATCTGTGTCGGTAATTGTTGTGATATCAATTCATTCCTGACTTCATTTAGATTGCTGATTGATGCCTAATACAGTACTGTCACCACCTTGTCTAGCCCTGGCTGAGGCTCTCTTGTTGGCTTTTGGGGGGGTTGCTTTTTAACCCCATTTTTCCAGTTGTCTCTGACATTTTTTGTTAGTTTGTGCCCCCTCCAGAATCTCGTTATCTCATTTATGGGCTCTCATTTCGTTATCTCATTTATGGGCTCTCATTTCGTTATCTCATTTATGGGCTCTCATTTCGTTATCTCATTTATGGGCTCTCATTTCGTTATCTCATTTATGGGCTCTCATTTCGTTATCTCATTTATGGGCTCTCATTTCGTTATCTCATTTATGGGCTCTCATTTCGTTATCTCATTTATGGGCTCTCATTTCGTTATCTCACTTATGGGCTCTCATTCATTTGAGGTTTCTGTTTCCAAGGCAATTTTCCTCCTGGATCTTGCTTTCAGCTGTTAACGGAATGCTATGAATGCATTTCATTCCAGCTGAAATGCTGGAATGCATTCCAGCAGGAATGCTCTGCACTCTTCTCCAGAAGAGTATTTTCTGATCCTTCAGGCCTGGTTTATGTTTTCTGTAACTGTAAATTTTCCTTAATTTTTGGCTTGGGGGCTGTGGTCTGCACGGATGGAGGTGCATAATGTGCTCTGTCCTGTGGCAATGGTGTGGCATTACTGGACACTATAGTGCTTTATGACAAAATGCCTTGTTTGTCAACCCTGCCTCATATCTTGTCTATACGATGCAAATGTAACTTATTTTTTTAGATTGTCATAAGTATTTACTACTTAGCGTGAAGAAATTAGGAAGGAAAATAAGTACAGTATTGTAAACTTGTTTTCGTGATTGTGAGTTTCTTCACTACATCCCAAGGGTCATGTTAGCGACATTCCACAAACCATTGTCTGCTCTGAACTTCAGATATCCTAATAGCAATCTCAATAACAAAATTAGGCATTTATATTCCAGAAGGGAAGGGAACTATCAGGAGAAAGCACTATGCCATGATGGCTATATAGCACTTGAAAGGGATCAGAAAAAAGGATTTGATATTCCTGAAGAGAAATACAGTCTATCATTATTACATATTTCAACACTTAAATTTTCTATTGGCTCTCTACTGATGAGCTTATTTCTCTGAATTTTTACATTTCATAAAGGTTGAGATTTAATATAAAAAAAGCTCTTAACACACAATAAGAGAGACATCAATACTAACCCGTAGCGTAATGGAGTATTGGTTGCCAGCATTGACCTCCCCAACAAGGGCCAACTCTCCTGTAGTAGCATTGATGAAGAACTTATCATGGCCACTGTTGGAAACATGGTAGATGCTGTACTTAATCTCAGCATTTTCTCCAGCATCATTATCCTTGGCTGATATCTGAAATAAGTTTACGCATTTCATCAACACCAATAAAAAGGAAACAAAGTAGAGGTATACAATGAGTGCAACAGAATAATGCAACATGTTACAGTATCTGTGACACGCATGATAAAAGAATAAGTAGTGAAGGGTCATGATAGCTACATTCCACAAACCATTAACTGTTTGTTCTGAACTTCAAATATCCTAATAGCAATCAAAACAACAAAAAATTAGGCATTTATATTCCTGAAGGGAAGGGAACAGAATAATACAACATGTTACATTATCTGTGACGTGGATGATAAAAGAATAGGCTGTGATTATTACCACGTGAGCAACTTCTGCCTATGCCTGGCATATGAAATTAATCCCAATTTTAACTGCAGTGTACTAATCATGTTTGGTAGAATCTATATATCAATGAATTTTTATCATTAAAAATCCTTCCTAATATATACGATATGTATAAACAGAATAAAATATAAAATCCTATTATTGCAAGGTGCCAGTTTATTTGCTTAGCAAAGAACATTGGGTATGATATTTTCTGATACTTAAAATAAGATACTGTTCTTAGTATTTATTTTATTTCTTGTCTCCAAACTTTTAAGTAATGTAAAGACTCTGTGCCATTTCTTGTGAGCATTGCCTTACACCAGTAAACAGACGCACTATGATTATTCAGTGTGTGAAATGAACGAAAATGTATAGACAAAGGAAATTAGAAAAAGATAGGGAAGCAGAAAAATATTAGGGAATATAGAAACCTAAGCAGTAAGAAAATCATGATACAGTAGAAAATAGTTATTATTAAAAGTTAGGACTAATATTTACCTTGGATCAAATTCAACAACTATAGAACACTGAGGGCTGTTTTCTTGCAGAATTTATAATCAAAGGCTCACACAGAGATCTTGTCCAGACTGTTCAATAAACAACTTTCCCCCTTGCAATAATTTATTATAAAAAGAGGAGAATCATGTATGTGCAGCAAATCATCTCTGACAAAAGTAAAAAAAAAAAATCCCTAAAATTTGATTTGTTAACAAATTTAACAAAATTTAATATCCTGTTGTGAAGAGATACTTATGATACTAGAACTCTAAACTAAACATCTTGTAGAGTGCTTCTTGATCACATGATTAAGTAATAGCAATGGTAACTTCTATCAGAGCATTAGTGGAAAATAATGCATAGCATAAGAGCAACCTGTGCAATGATCCTGTGAGCAGATCCAGCTTGGACAGACACTGGAGGGTAGACTGGTAATCGTGGCTGGTTGTCATTGACATCATTGAGAACTACAGTAAGGGTGATGGGCGCGCTGGCAGCTCCACCCTCCCACGCCTCTCGTGCCACAATCTGTCAGAAACAATTATCTTGCATAATGCCTTTAAGCTAAAATAAGATTCTATACTAGTAAGTAAATCAATTTGTAACTCAGGATCTATAATAACAATACTCAAAAATATTTCCAAAGACAGCATACCTGGAAGGTATAAAGTCCAGGATTGGGAGGATCTCGATCCAAGTTATTCTCAGCCACTACCAACTGACCACCTGAACCCACACGGAATGCTGTAGTTGTCATCTCCCATGTATACTTTGGAAGGTCGTCAGCAGCAGTCTGAAAATATTATGAATACTGTATTTGTTAAATACTAATATATTGTAATTTATATGGTATAATTAAGTGTATTTTTTCATATAATTCTATTTTAAATCATTTAACACTTTCGCCCGGGCATGACGCAGCATTGCGTCATCCGTTTACTGTCGGTAATACCGGGGATGACGCAGCATTGCGTCATCCACTTTAAATAATCGCTAAAAATCAGGTTTTTATCCGATTTTTTGGGGACTGGTTTTAAAATGCGTGCCGATGTCTTCCCATTTTCTTTGTCGAGCCTCGTGGCCCTCAGGCGGCTTGGCACACGCCGTGGGCCCATTGTTTTCACTCCACTGTTGTAACCAATGTTGCCTCCCCTCGCATCTCAAACGTGTGAACATTTCGGCTATTTTCCGTGGCTATATTTCTTACTGCGGCTTTAGAAACTATCTACGCTTACTCCACGATGGATAGTGATCATGAACAAGGCTCTTCCAGGAAGAAAATTGCGAAGAAAGGCTTGAAAAGGGCGGGAATTGGCAGTGTAGCTGGAAGGCGTCTGAGCGCTCACTTGCGGCTAACGCGTGGCCCATCTTCAACTCGTCAGCGGTTGGAGCGTGGCCAGGTTTTTTATTTTATATGCTAATGTTCCTCTAGAGAATTCAATTGCAAACCCATTGAGACCAAAATAAAAGACCTAGGACGAAAATTGAGGTGACCAGAGTGAAAATAGTGAAAACATTTTATCACTTTTGCGCGCTCCTGGGTAATTCGTTCGCACTTTCTCTGTTTGCTGCGGGTAATTAGCCGGGCTTTTGGAGTTTATATGCATTTAGTGCTGTAGAGAATTCTATTGCGAACACAATGATACAAAATTTAATCTCGTAGGACGAGAATTAAGGTGACAAAGTTGAAGAGAGTATACACTTTTCAGAATTTACCCGCGCTCCCGTGACACCCTGGGTCCCATATCGCACAGTTGAGGGGTTGTGCGCGGGGTACGCCAAAGTGTTAAGGAGGTCTAATTTGAGCCATGAGTTCAATTTAGGAACAATAACATAATAATTATAGGACAACAAAAGCTGTTTGTTTACTCAAATTTCTAATCAGAGTATTGTAAGGATACTATGTCCAGCCCCTTCCCTCTTCAGTAATATTTTTAGTAGTGTAAGTGGTGGCCTGTACACAACACGTCTCAGTCATACTGGGGATAAATAAACCGAAATGCCATAAAGATTTCAATCTCAACATGCAAAATGTAAACATTTCTTCATATGCACTAATGTAGTGCTGAGAACTAAAAACACACTTTTCACATCTCAAGAGGGAGAGAAAAGGCAAGAAGGAAGAGGAAGCGAGGGAAGGGTGGGAGGAAGGAAAAGGGTGGATAGGATAATTCTCTATTTAATTCAGAATGACCTTGAGAAGGCTCATTCATCTACAGCAAAGTCTCCTTAATACAAGTTAAATAACCTACAACATCCTCTAATTTATTGGGTAGAACCCACAGTATTTACAGTTCAGTGCCATCTCTTGTCTCAAGATTTTTTCCACATTAATTTTGAATTGGAGTACTGTCTTGGCATTTACATCTTAAGTGGGAGGGCAATTCCTTGGGTTATTATCATATGGGTGAAAAAGCATCTCTTGTTTTCTGTCCTACATTGTGGCTTGTTGAGCTTGAAGTTGTTGCCCCTTATACCATTTGACTTTTTATATAAGTTGTCCAGAGTAACATCATCTAATTTGTTCAGTATTTTAGACAATTCGGTACTAGCAATTTACTTGCAAAGGTGAAATAGGTAATAGCCTATTTTAAATCCAGCTTGAAAAAATCATCAGATCAAATGGGGGGAAACCTTTGACTAGCTGCTGGCTTCCTGTCTCATCGAGGCCCATAGAGAGTTAGTGGCTTTCAAGTAAATTCAAGAAAAATTATACTGAATAAGGGCCATAATATCACAACATATTAGATACTCAAAAGGTATTGAGAAGGTAAATAAAGATTGGTTATTTTAAAGAGTTCGGTCAGAACAACAGTCAGAAATGGAAACTGAACACCCAGGTGAATCAGAGAAATATAAGATGGAACTTTTTCAGCAGGAGAGTAGTGAAATACTGGAATTCCTGTCATTTGGGAAAGTAGTAGTGGAACTAACTATAAACAGTACTGTATATGAATTTAAATATAAACCCTATAAAATAAAATCTAATACACTGGAAATACAGTATCACATTGGTTGATTAAATGGTTAAGAGGATAAACCCAGGAATTCTTCCCAATAAATGCAAATGGGCAAATAAGCATTTACTTGCATAAGCAAAAATAATCATACGAACATCAGTGAACATTACAGGAATAAGACACACAATATTTGTATGGGACTCACTAGATCGGGATCGATAACGGTGAGAACAATTGGACGAGGCTCAGGGTGGTCGTCATATACAGGAGTTCCTGGAGCTGCATTTTCATTGACGTTACCAGTATATGAGGAAGCTGTTACCACTGGTGGAGAGGAGTCCACTCCTTGGACATTTATCACCAGCTTGGCTGTGGCAAACCTTTTGGCCTCGCTCTCTTCCTCTGCCTATTAGACGAGTAATAATAATAATAATAATAATAATGATGATAATAAAATAAATGTTTATTCTGGTAAAAGTACATACACTTTACATACAAGATGAGTTACAAACAGAATGTTGGATTTCTAGATAGAGCTATTACATACTATGCCTAAAGCCACTAACACGCACAGCATTTCGGGCATATTAACTTAACAACATCACCAACCTATACAAGGCGGGCGAACATAAGAACTGCCTTCAGAAACTTGTGTAAGGAATCATTCACAACCTTGTATACCACATATGTCAGACCAATACTGGAATATGCGGTTCCAGCCTGGAGTCCACATCTAGTCAAACACAAAACGAAGTTAGAAAAGGTTCAGAGGCATGCCACCAGGCTAGTACCCAAGCTGAGAGGAATGAGCTATGGGAAAAGATTACTGGAACTGAACCTCACGACACTGGAAGGCAGAAGAGTTAGAAGACATGATCGCTACCTACAAAATTCTCAGAGGAATTGATAGGGTAGATAAAGATAAACTGTTTAACATGGGTGGTATGCAAACCAGGGGACACAGGTGGAAAATGAGTACCCAAATGAGCCACAGGTATCTTAGAAAGAACTTTTTCAGTGTCAGAGTAGTTAACAGATGGAATGCATTAGGCAGTGATGTGGTGGAGGCAGACTCCATACACAGTTTCAACTATAGATATGATAGAGCCCAGTAGGCTCAGGAATCTGTATACCAGTTGATTGACAGTTGAGAGGCGGGACCAAAGTGCCAGAGCTCAACTCCCGCAAGCACAACAAGGTGAGCAAGCGCGCGCTCGCTCGCTCGCTCGCTCGCTCGCTCGCTCGCTCGCTCGCTCGCTCGCTCGCTCGCTCGCTCGCTCGCTCGCTCGCTCGCTCGCTCACTCACTCACTCACTCACTCACTCACTCACTCACTCACTCACTCACTCACTCACTCACTCACTCACTCACTCACTCACTCACTCACTCACTCACTCACTCACTCACTCACTCACTCACTCACTCACTCACTCACTCACTCACTCACTCACTCACTCACTCACTCACTCACTCACTCACTCACTCACTCACTCACTCTCACTCACTCACTCACTCACTCACTCACTCACTCACTCACTCACTCACTCACTCACTCACTCACTCACTCACTCACTCACTCACTCACTCACTCACTCACTCACTCACTCACTCACTCACTCACTCACTCACTCACTCACTCACTCACTCACTCACTCACTCACACACTCACTCACTCACTCACTCACTCACTCACTCACTCACTCACTCACTCACTCACTCACTCACACACACACACACACACACACACACACACACACACACACACACACACACACACACACACACACACACACACACACACACACACACACACACACACACACACACACACACACACACACACACACACACACACACACACACACACACACACACACACACACACACACACACACACACACACACACACACACACACACACACACACACACACACACACACACACACACACACACACACACACACACACACACACACACACACACACACACACACACACACACACACACACACACACACACACACACACACACACACACACACACACACACACACACACACACACACACACACACACACACACACACACACACACACACACACACACACACACACACACACACACACACACACACACACACACACACACACACACACACACACACACACACACACACACACACACACACACACACACACACACACACACACACACACACACACACACACACACACACACACACACACACACACACACACACACACACACACACACACACACACACACACACACACACACACACACACACACACACACACACACACACACACACACACACACACACACACACACACACACACACACACACACACACACACACACACACACACACACACACACACACACACACACACACACACACACACACACACACACACACACACACACACACACACACACACACACACACACACACACACACACACACACACACACACACACACACACACACACACACACACACACACACACACACACACACACACACACACACACACACACACACACACACACACACACACACACACACACACACACACACACACACACACACACACACACACACACACACACACACACACACACACACACACACACACACACACACACACACACACACACACACACACACACACACACACACACACACACACACACACACACACACACACACACACACACACACACACACACACACACACACACACACACACACACACACACACACACACACACACACACACACACACACACACACACACACACACACACACACACACACACACACACACACACACACACACACACACACACACACACACACACACACACACACACACACACACACACACACACACACACACACACACACACACACACACACACACACACACACACACACACACACACACACACACACACACACACACACACACACACACACACACACACACACACACACACACACACACACACACACACACACACACACACACACACACACACACACACACACACACACACACACACACACACACACACACACACACACACACACACACACACACACACACACACACACACACACACACACACACACACACACACACACACACACACACACACACACACACACACACACACACACACACACACACGTACGTCTGCAGCATATGCGAGGCTGGCTAACATCAGAACAGCCTTCAGGAACCTGTGTAAGGAATCATTCAGAAACCTGTGTAAGGAATCATTCAGAATCTTGTATACCACATATGCAAGACCAATCCTGGAGTATGCGGCCCCAGCATGAAGCCCGTACCTTGTCAAGCACAAGACGAAGCTGGAAAAAGTTCAGAGGTATGCCACTAGACTAGTCCCAGAACAAAGAGGCATGAGTTACGAGGAAAGGCTGCGGGAAATGCACCTTACAACACTGGAAGACAGAAGAGTAAGAAGAGACATGATCACTACCTACAAAATCCTCAGGGGAATCGACAGGGTAGACAAGAATAAACTATTCAACACTGGTGGTACGTGAACAAGGGGACACAGGTGGAAACTGAGTACCTACATGAGCCATAGGGATGTTAGAAAGAACTTTTTCAGTGTCAGAGTAGTTAACAGGTGGAATGCATTAGGAAGTGATGTGGTGAAGGCTGACTCCATACACAGTTTCAAATGTAGATATGATAGAGCCCAGTAGGCTCAGGAATCTGTACACCAGTTGATTGACAGTTGAGAGGCAGGACCAAAGAGCCAAAGCTCAACCCCCACAAGCACAAATAAGCGAGTACAAATAGGCGAGAACACACACTACTAATAAACAACAAAAACATACAAAAGGTAAACAAATGTTGACCAGACCACACACTAGAAGGTGAAGGGACGACGACGTTTCAGTCCACAATCGACTTGAGAATGGTCCAGGACGGACTGAAACGTCGTCATCCCTTCACCTAGTGTGTGGTCTGGTCAACATACTTTAGCCACGTTATTGTGACTCATCGCCTGCAAAATGTAAACAAATATTACAAGAGAATTATGAAATACTGCCACAGGGTAATTTGCTTGTTATTTTTATTATCACACAGATTAGTGTTTAGAATAAGTGAAATTAAATGAATCACAAAAGCATCATTTTCAGAAATTTACACCTACCTTAACAACAATCTCAAACTTTCTGGTAACTGCCCTGTCAACTGCAGCAATGTGGGTGACAGCTCCTGTTTGTGGGTTGATTGCAAAGAAGCGGTCATATGTTCCTGGCCGACCCGACATGAAGGAATACCTGTGTTGAAACTTTTGTATGAGCAAAATTTCAAAAAGTTCTGAAGTACAATACTTAACTATCCACTAGTTTTAATTCATTTAAAATTACCCTAATACAGGTAGTTGACTACTTTTCTTAACTTCCAAATCATTGCAAATTTTTTATGTATACAGTACTTCAATTATTAATTTTATATACAGTACTTTTTTAATATTAATTGTACTTGTAGCATCAAAATCGCTATAAAATTTCAGTCACAAGTCCAGAGTTCTTTTTGGGGATTCAGTGTTGCCAAACATCACTACAAGAGTTTAACTGTTTTGAAAGTTTTCATTATTACAGTGTGTGGTTATCCTCAGATATGAGATTGGTTTCTGATCTATCTGAGCCTTCCATCCAATTTTGATCTCATTGTCCTGAGAGCAGCCAGCGTGACAACCAAGTGAAATCACTGAAGTACTGTACTGGTTCTCCCAGAATGGAACGTTTCATTACTCTCAACACTCCATTTTTTAATGTAAATAATTGTCTGTACTTATTTCTGGAAAGGTCACATAAATAGCTGCACTTGGCAGCAGTGATATTGCCAAGCCTTGAGATTCACACCAGGCCTCTGAGACCTATCCTTACCTACTGGGAGCCAAAAAATAGAATCTCTCTCTCTACAAGCTCAGGAAAGATTAGGGATCAGAGATCAACCCAAACCCAAGAAAAATAGAAAGAATGAAAGAATAGATGTAACATAAGCAACTACCATAGAGTACTTTAACAAAATTAGGTACCTTGAGGTAAACAAGGAACATAATCATTGTCACAGGGTAAATATCTTAATCACCATAATACATTTGACCTCCACCAGGTGGCAGCCCAGATCAGCCAGGGTTCCTTCTAGTCTGCTCTCTCACTTACTTATTTGGTCACTACTGTAAGCACAAATCTTACAAGATCCATCGTCTCTTCCATGGGAGCCTATTGCTGTGTTCTATTTCATAATTAGGGGTTTTTAGTCCACACCCATTACATGTGTCCTAGCTTTGTGTTTTGCTCCAACTGTTGATCAAAATAATGCCTTTTTAAGGGGGGGGCCTAAGACCTCGATTTATTGTGCCTTAGGGGGCCCTAAGACCTCGATTTCTTGTGCCTTAGGGGGGCCTAAGACCTCCATTTCTGGGCCTTAGTCCCACGTTGTTAGTTTCCAAAAGCGTCTTACCCTTGGGTCTGGTGGTCTATTTCATGGACCCTGAATTTCTGATCCTCATGCCTGGCTCTTATGGTAGTTGGTTTTCTGGTGTCCATCTAGGGATTTTGTTTTCAGGCTGTTGGTGGTCTGTCCTTGCTCCCTTGCTGGTCATCTCTTTGCTTCTTTGGTAATTTTTCTTGGTTTTTCTCTATGGCTCTTGCTCATACTTGTATCCACACGAATGTTGGCCTTTAGCTCTGCCTAGCTCTATTTGGGATGTCACTGTGCCTAGTGACATCCAGTGCCTAGTAACATTAGTGATGTCTAATGCTGTTTGCCTGAAAGTTTCCAAACTTTGCACCCAGTTATTCTTGTGCTGCCTTTGAGATTGTTCCCAAGCTGCATCCCTCAGTGTCCCTGGGGACTTTTTGGATATTTCTACACTGAGGACTCTCTCGTTCTTTGTGACTGTTGTCACTGGTCCAGTTCAACCTGTGGAGTGTGTTTTTTTTCTGGAAAATTTTAGCATCCAGCCCTTGGTTTCTTCAGCACCTGTGCCCTTATGACCTGCCTCTATTTCAGCTAGTGCTGGAGGTCATGGCAGTGATTGGTGTTTCAATGCCCTAGCACTCTCATGCAGAAGGGACGGGTCCATCAGGGCCTGTATGTCCTCCCTCCCTCTTGGGTTTAAAGGTACCACAGTGAAAGTATACCCAGAGTCCTCCGTGGTCTGGAGATGCTCTAGTTTTGTGCGTTGGTTGGGCCTTTAGACCAATAGGGGTCGCCCACCAAATAATCTTACCTCTAATCAGTATCCAATAAATTCCAGCAAGAAGAGAGGGGTTTACATTAGGGGTAAATCTTGTACACATTATTGAGAAAAGTAAAGAAAACTCTGCATGTGGATTTCCAGAAAGATAACCCGAATATAATTTTTAAGCTTCCTGATAATTTAAAGTTTTGTGCCAATCCGTATTACTTAACATTTCTTAAATCCTTCATCTTGAAATGCAAGAGTTTCGGGAAATTTGATAGGCCTCATAATACAAGAATATACTAAAGGAATTTGTAAAAAAATAAATGTACGAGGAATCACAAAATTCAAATGGCATCTAAGGAAGCTTGAATAAACTATGTTCATGCAAGCAAATTTGCATAAACATAAACTATGTTTATTCACAAAGCATAAATTATGTTTATTTGCATTTGCATAGTTTATGCAAATTTAATATTTATAACAAGGACAGTAAAAAGCAATTGTGCAAAAATTTTACACTACTGTATTACTGATATTATTTTACCTGATTGGGGTGGCCAAAGAGTCCAGATCAGCGGCATGAATTCTCTCTGGCTTAACACTGAGAACCCCAGAGACCTCACCCGAGGTGACAGAAGCACTATACTCGGGATTTGCACAGATGGAGCCAACTCGAGCACATCCAGCATATTCAAATGCAGGGTCCTGGTCATCACTGTCTGCCACAGTCACTGTCAGAGTTGTGGTGCTGCTCAGACGACTCTCTGCACTTTGAGCTCGATCCTGGAATAGGATGGAAGAGATACGTAGTGAAAGGAAATAAAAAAAATATTCAAATATTGGTATAATTTGTAATTCAATACAATTTACATATTAATTATTAACTACACTCAGCCTTACACTAACCATAAATTTGATACTCATGAAATTTACTATTCATGGTATGGGAATTTATGCAGAACTAAAATTTTACTAAACATAAGGACCCTACATTATTGGAACCATCTCAAAGCTCTCAAAATGTACTCTCTGGAAAGGAGATGAGAAAGGTATTAAATAATATATACAGTACATGGAAGATACTGGAAGGTCAGGTCCCAAATTTGCACAGTAGAACAACAACATACTTGAGCGAACAACAAGGAAGGAAATGCAGAATAGAACCAATGAAGAGGTTCCATAGGCACAGAGAACACTGTCTGAACATCAGGGGTCCACGGCTGTTTAACATCCTCCCAGCAAGCATTAGAAACATTGCTGGAACTATTGGTGGATGTATTCATGAAGCAATTATACTAGTTCTTGCAAGAAGTGCTGGATGAACTAGGCTGTAGTGGATATGTGGGCCAGCAGGCCGCTCCAAGCAACAGCCTATTGGACCAAGTTATTACAAGTATTACAAAGTCGAGCCTGGCCTCAGGCCGGGCTCAGGAAGTAGAAGAACTCCCGAGATCTTTTCCAGGTATACTCCAGGCATGAGGGTTGGGTTCACTAATCTCAATTTGGCATAGATTTTCAAACATTTCACTTACTTTTTGGATTGCATTTTTGCATTAAAGCCCTTTCCAAACATTCTGCAATTTCATCTACATTGCAAGATAAATAAATAAAGACAATGTTTACTCTCAAATCTCTTCTTTGATGAGTATACATATTTACTGTATACAGTACAGTACACTGAATCTTTGCTATTCTATAGGGATGCATCAAATGAAATCTTCAGCATAGGTTCACAAATACAGCACTAACCTTAAGGTTTACATGATGTACATGATGGGAAAAATAGAGTTGCATTCCATAGTCTTCCCAAAGTTCACTTTTATCCATTCTTCTCTTAACAAAACACCTGTCTGAGCATTATTGCTGCGTATTCCTGTAATGTCCCAGCCACACACTTATACCTGTACTTACATTCCTTCATATACCCTTCCGAGAGGGTCCTGGTAGTACAGTCAGGTTCGTTCTCGACGCACAATCGAGTACTGTATTCCAGTTTTGAATCCCAGGTGGGACAGAAATGGTCGGGCACATTTCCTTTCACATAATGCCTCTGTTCACCTAGCAGTAAATAGGTGCTCAGGAGTTAGTCAGCTTCTTGTGCGGTTGCATCCTGGGTGGGGTCAATAATTCGGGATGGGGCAGGGGGTAACTCGATAAAAGCCTAATGTGTACACACACACTGGCTTCCTGTCCCCCTGACACAATGAATTATTATTATTATATATCTGCAGCAGACATTATAGAATGTTTGGTTGGTGCCATGATGCAAGAACATAATAAAAAATGCTCATAAAACACCAAAAACTGGCAAGATTGTGTGTAAATTACACAGAAAAATGGTGCCAACTCACGAATATTGTACTGAGCTTATGGTTAGTGAAGGTTTATTATAAAATACCTACACCATAGATGATGAGGATCCACTATACTGTAGACTTGTGACTGGGAAGTGAAAGTAACTCTTCTAGACCACTGACGAGTGTACAAATTTGTTTTGTGTAGTATGATAGTGTACCTATTGTTTGTAATTACTCAAGTGTGATTACTTAAGTGTAGTTACAGGATGAGAGCTACGTTCGTGGTGTCCCGTCTTCCCAGTACTCTTTGCCGTATAACGCTTTGAAACATGAACCAGTAACTACGCATTACCACTAATGGATATAAACATATGAAACAAAGATGCAGAAAATAAGTCACTCAGATGTGATGGAAAAACAATTCAACTCACACATATGAAAAAGATGATTGCCTCATTTATTATAATCAGTACATAGAAAATAGCACAGTACTGTACTGCAACCACTCGATTATCCGGGATTCGAATATCCGGAAAATGCCCTTATGCGGCCAAAATTGTGACTGGATAAAGTTCTCAATATCTGGGCAAAATGTCCATAGGAGCCGGAAAATCAGGTGTTTGTCCGAATAAAAAATCTGGGCCGGTTAACTTGCTGGCAATGTTGCAATATCCGGACAGTCAGCAAGACAAGGAGTGAATGGTCCGGATATGAAAGCCAGGCCGTGGGCCGTACTGTATTAATCCCATACAGCTGTGGCTCGAGGCACATGGTGTAGGAGGGGGTGGGGTGGGTGGGTCGTGTCAGGGGAGAGGGGAGTGTTGGGAGGGACCACCTGGGTACAGGAATTACCATTAATTTTAGAACAATTCATCATAGCCAAAAACAAAAGAAATACTAGTAATTATGTAATAACAATTATATAAGTTTCCTAAAAACAATTTGCACAGGCTGAAGTTTCCTTCAAAAATATTGTGAGTTTTTTCCTCCTGGCGGCCTACATAATGTGTTATAGCTGCCCCAAATGGAAGTGTCCAATCCTGGTCAACCCATGTGCTTTTGTCCCTCGTGTTATACCACAGTGATGCACCATTAGTGAAATATTTTTTAAATAAATTTTTTATTTTCATAGTAACTTTGAACATTTTTGGCCAAGACTATGTCTGGTAGCAACATCAATCGTTCTGGAGGTGTTAAGAGGAAGAAGGTTGTCCTAACTATAAAAGACAAGATACGTGTTACACAACTTTGTGAAAATGGCCGGTCGACTTCAAGTGAAGTGAAGCCTGAGGCAAACCAAAGAGCTGATCATACAACAGGCCAATGAACGCAGAAGGCAAGCTAAACTTGATTCTTATATGGTAAGAAAATCAAACCAAGCACCTTCAACCAGTGAGGCTTCACAGGCAAGCCAAGCGCCTTCAACACGTGAGGCGTCACAGGCAAGCCAAGCGCCTTCAACAAGTGGGGCGTCACAGGCAAGCCAAGCGCCTTCAACAAGTGGGGCATCACAGGCAAGCCAAGCGCCTTCAACCAGTGAGGCGTCATAGGCAAGCCAAGCGCCTTCAACCAGTGAGGCGTCATAGGCAAGCCAAGCGCCTTCAACCAGTGAGGCTTCAGTAGCTGGCAGTCCAAACTAGCTTTGCCTAATGAACTGTACAGTAATTTTAAGTGTTAATTTTAGTGTTGTGTTAGTATAGGTTACGTAAATTGTCAAGAATTCTTAACTTCAACATGTGTGGCATCAATCAAGAAGACAAACAACAACAAGGTAAGTTGGTGTTTCTAGTTGAATATTTAATAATTATATGTGGCAAGGCAATTCAAATTATGTTGTTTGTAGTATAAAAATAGTTGAAAATGGTCACTTTTGGACTCAGAGGTGAAAAAGTACCATTATCCGGAACATGTGATTATCCGGGTGGGGGTCCTTCCCATATAGTCCAGATAATCAAGTGGAGACAGTAATACAAAACTATAAAACATAAATACAGTACTAGTAAATGCTGCTACTGTAACAAAGGACTTTAATTGAACTCCAACAATGATGTGAATTTTTTCACACTTAGTATGATACCAATGAGGTTGAATAAAGTCAAAGACAATAACAATCTTCAAGTGAAACGCAACTGTCTCTTAGGTCTTTCACAACACATCCATTTGGCAATATATACTGTAGTACAGTACTAATTTTGGACGCAGTAGATAACTTACCATGGCCATAATAGTAACGTAGTACACTGACGACCTCTCATAATCCAGAGATCGATTGACAGTAACGAGGCCTTGGTGAGGTAGAGTGATACTGAAGTAACCATAGCCATCACTTTCAGGGTTACTGTTGCTTCGTATAATACTGTAGTCTACTTGCCCATTCACACCTGTAAGAGCCATTAAGTTGCAATAAATTATATGATACAGTATATTATTATTTCCTCATTTTCAGGCACAGAAAGCATGCTTAGGCTTATTGAGGTCCCCATAGGCCTTCCCCAGGATGTGCCCCACAACAGCTGCTTAACTCCCAGGTACCTAGTTTATGCTAGATGAAAGGATACATGTCAATTGTTTCTGTAATCCCCGGGATTTAACCTGGGTCCTTTAATTATGAGTCAAGGAGTCTACCTTCTTGGGTCACAATCATTGTGAGTGCATTACAGGACCCTAGTGTCATGCAGTATCATAATCATAAATAGATGGAGTGACTAATCATTTACTGTACTGTACAGTGTTTTGATAAATAATTCATTAGTATTATGAATTAGTTATCTAGCGTCATAACAATGAGGTGATGAGCACTGTATTTAAGCAAGTACTCATCCAATATTTGGGTTACTGAAGATTGTGTGTAGTGTTGATTGGTAAACTATCCACTCATTCTGCATCGTGCTTTAAATTTGAGCTAAACAATTGCCAATCATTAATCACAGTTTTCAAAATGCCATGATTTCCAGTGTCTCAATTTTCAACTGACTCATAAATACATTGAGATAATAGTTGTTTAGCTATTAAAATCTTCATTTAAACACACAGATATACTTAATGATTACTATAAATTTATACATAAACAGGGAAATACATAATATTGAATAACTTCCCCTAATTTCAACTTCAATATTTTCATATTGAATATAAGATATGCAAATTGTGTGAAAATGGCATCTTAAGTCTTATCCTAATCTTAAATAGCATCTATCATACAGATACTGAATTATAAATAGTTAATGTTACATTACCAGCATCCAAGTCGTCAGCGTGCACCTTTCTGAAGATGGTAGTGCCCACCGGTGTCAGCTGTAGAAAACAACAAAATATCATATCTCAGAATTGTATATATTTTGTTTAAAAAATATTATATATATATATATATATATATATATATATATATATATATATATATATATATATATATATATATATATATATATATATATATATATATATATATATATATATATATATACAGTATATATATATATATGTCGTACCTAGTAGCCAGAATGCACTTCTCAGCCTACTATGCAAGGCCCGATTTGCCTAATAAGCCAAGTTTTCATGAATTAATATATTTTCTCAATTTTTTTTCTTATGAAATGATAAACCTACCTATTTCATTATGCATGAGGTCAATTTTTTTTATTGGAGTTAAAATTAACGTAGATATATGACCAAACCTAACCAACCCTACCTAACCTAACCTAAGCTATCTTTATAGGTTAGGTTAGGTTAGGTAGCCGAAAAAGTTAGGTTAGGTTAGGTAGGTTAGGTTGTCGAAAAAACATTAATTCATGAAAACTTGGCTTATTAGGCAAATCGCTCCTTGCATAGTAGGCTGATAAGTGCGTTCTGGCTACTAGGTACGACATATATATATATATATATATATGTCGTACCTAGTAGCCAGAACGCACTTCTCAGCCTACTATGCAAGGCCCGATTTGCCTAATAAGCCAAGTTTTCATGAATTAATTGTTTTTCGACTACCTAACCTACCTAACCTAACCTAACTTTTTCTGCTACCTAACCTAACCTAACCTATAAAGATAGGTTAGGTTAGGTTAGGTAGGGTTGGTTAGGTTCGGTCATATATCTACGTTAATTTTAACTCCAATAAAAAAAAATTGACCTCATACATAATGAAATGGGTAGCTTTATCATTTCATAAGAAAAAAAATAGGGAAAAAATATTAATTCAGGAAAACTTGGCTTATTAGGCAAATCGGGCCTTGCATAGTAGGCTCAGAAGTGCGTTCTGGCTATTAGGTACGACATATATTATATATTATATATTATATATATATATATATATATATATATATATATATATATATATATATATATTTATATATATACAGTATATATATATATATATGTTAGTATATTTTGGTAGCAGTCTTTCCTGTAGACATACTGTATATTATTAAATATGACCGAAAAAGTAAGATTAATAATTCTAACACGAATTTTCTCGATGTTTCTTATGTTTCTTTCCACTGTTGATGGTAATTGAAAAATCAATTCTCCAAAATTCATTTTTATTTCTAGTCTGACGCGACACTTGAACGCGTTTCGTAATAACTTATTACATTTTTAAAGACTTTTAGTTTACACACACACAACTATAACCTGCAAACACTAAACAGAGTTCTTACTATGCAATGATTTAAACAGCTTTCATTTTTCATTTTATACCCGCATTTTGGGTAAGGTGATATGTTACAACAGTGTTGGATGAGGTGAACAAGACATTTCAAGACTCCACTCCAATATAGAAGCATCAAGAAATATGGGCCAATAGGCCCTCTGCAGTTACTTCCATTCTTACCTTCAATACCCATTGTTTCGTGTTCTATCCTGTGTTGAAAGTTTTGTTCACCTCATCCAAAACTGTTGTAACATATCACCTCACCCAAAATGCGGGTATAAAATGAAAAATGAAAGCTGTTTAAATCATTGCATAAGTAAGAACTCTGTTTAGTGTTTGCAGGTTATAGTTGTGTGTGTGTGTGTGTGTGTGTAAACTAAAAGTCTTTGAAAATGTAATAAGTTGTTACGAAACGCGTTCAAGTGTCACGTCAGACTAGAAATAAAAATGAATTTTGGAGAATTGATTTTTCAATTATTATCAACAGTGAAAAGAAACATAAGAAACATCGAGAAAATTCGTGTTAGAATTATTCGGTTATATTTAATAATAATAATAATAATAATAAAATATATACACATTATATATATATATATATATATATATATATATATATATATATATTATATACATTACATACATACATACATACATACATACATACATACATTCATACATTCATACATTACATACATTACATACATGTGTATACCCCTTCTAGGTTAAAAAAAAAATATATATTATATATATATATATATATATATATATATATATATATATATATATAATATATATATATATATATATATATATATATATATATATATATATATATATATATATTTATATATCATACCTAGTAGCCAGAAAGCACTTCTCAGCCTACTATGCAAGGCCCGATTTGCCTAATAAGCCAAGTTTTCATGAATTAATTGTTTTTCGACTACCTAACCTACCTAACCTAACCTAACCTAACTTTTTCAGTTATCTAACCTAACCTAACCTATAACGATTGGTTAGGTTAGGTTAGGTAGGGTTGGTTAGGTTCGGTCATATATCTACGTTAATTTTAACTCCAATAAAAAAAATTGACCTCATACATAATGAAATGGGTAGCTTTATCATTTCATAAGAAAAAAATTAGAGAAAATATATTAATTCAGGAAAACTTGGCTTATTAGGCAAATCGGGCCTTGCATAGTAGGCTGAGAAGTGCGTTCTGGCTATTAGGTATGACATATATATATATATATATACATACATATACATACACACACACACCTTAATGTTTTATTGATCTTACCCGTGACTCAGTCGTTCACTTTTGTGTGACATGTCTCGGGTGTGAATTATGTCTGCAATGATCGGGGTGGGGTGGTTCGTGATTTGGTGTGTGCGTCCCTCTTCAGTGCAAAGGTGTTGTCAATAGTTTTGTTAAATTTTTCCTCGCCTCATCTTGATGGTTATCTTGAGTTGATTTCGGGGCTTTTTTAGTGTCCCCGCGGCCCGGTCCTTGACCTTCCCCGCGGCCTCCACCCCCAGGAAGCAGCCCGTGACAGCTGACTAACTCCCAGGTACCTATTTACTGCTAGGTAACAGGGGCATAGGGTGAAAGAAACTCTGCCCATCGTTTCTCGCTGGCGCCCGGGATCGAACCCGGGACCACAGGATCACAAGTCCAGTGTGCTGTCCGCTCGGCCGACCAGCTCCCCTAGCTCATTGTACTCTTCTAGTTGTGCTTGCTGGGGTTTCATGTCGGCTCATGGGCCCGTCTCTAACCCGTCATTCTACTGGTGTACACATTCCTGAGCTTCTCGAGCTCCTGCATTTCTACGTTTGCAGCTTCCACCTCATCACTGCCTCCTGCTTTCCCTTTCCTTACTACTCTGCCTCTGGACAAGTTCTTTTAATATCTCTGTGGTTCCTTTGGGTACTCTGTTTCCACCTGTGTCCCATTATGGGTGTACCAATCATATTGATTCATCCATCTTTTCTACCCTGTCCATTCCCCTGGGGAAGTAGTGGGTGATGGTCATGTCTATCGGTCTTGTGTTCCTGGGGCAGTTTTGTCTTGTGTACGAGACTGTGGTACTTCTGTATATTATTACCTCGGTCTTATGTTTACGAACTGTGGTCATTGGCTTGTTTCCATTATTTTATTATGAGCACCGATTTTGTGCCTAACAACCTTGCCCTGCATGCTTGTCCAGCTCCCTAGCCTACGGCCCTCAAGCGCCAGTCCGTATTACTGCCATCTTAGCTATAAGGCTTTTTTATAACAAAAAATAAATTGAATTAATATTGCGAGTCTTATCCACCAGCAAATGCGGTAGGTAGGGCTTCCCTACAGGATCGTTTCTGGGTGCCCTAGGGTTCCTCGGATTCATCTTTTCAGAGGTTTCTTCCTCTTGGTTTCCCATTGCAGAGGTTCGGGAGACCCTTGGCACCTACCTCCTGTGAGACCCGGTTTACACCTCTGTGTTGGATCCAGTTTTGTTTGAGTTCAATTCATCTTACATTGATCGGGTGCATTTCGAGATGCCAGCGTCTTCCTGGCTGGCAGCCTACCTCAACGACTGGTTGGTGTGGGCTCCCTGCAGCCTGCTTGTCTGCTAGCCAGGATCTGGTTCTTTCCCAGCTTGCCAGATTCGGGTTCCGAGTAACTTGGAGGAAGTCCCAGTTGGTTCCGTCCCAGGTTTGGGCATGGCTGGGCCTGGTGTGGGGTTCTCAGATTGAGTTCGTTTCTCTCCCTCCTGTAGCTTTGCTCCAGTTGCGGTCCCACTTTTGGCTATTTTTGATAGCGACCCGGGTCCCTAGGTGGTTGCTCGAGCAGCTGTGTGGGAGTCTGATCTTTGCTGTGCTGGTTTATCCGCTGCTTGATGTTGCTTGGTGCAGGGTTTGGCTTCAAAGGCCATTTTGGTATCTTAGGAGTAGCCTCTTTCGCTGCTCTCGCAATTGCTACCAGCTTTACTGCTTTGCAGCTTTACACCACTACCTGCGGGCCACTGGTTCTGTGCTGGTGGACACACTCTAGGTGGATCCGGTTTCCTTGGTTGCCTGTTCCAGGGCTCATGTGTCACAAATTTTCCGCAGTGTCATTTAGTCTAGCCAGCCTGCGGTCTACCCTCGTGCCTATGCTGTTAGGAAGTATGCTGCTCTCGCGGCAATTTTTAGCAACATGTCTTGGGTCGACATTTGGAGGTCGAACAGAGTCCTGGCCACCAGGAATCTTGCACGTTCTGGTTCCTTTTTGGCCATGTGTGGCTTTGGGGCGCCTGTCACTGCAGTCCTTTTCTTTCTCGACTTGAGATCTATAGTGCTGCCACCTCCCGGGTAAGTCCCTCCTTTAACTTATCTTTGGGTAGTTACCTTCAGGGAGCCAACGGAGCTCCCCGCAGAAAACCAATGTTGAATATAATAAAACGTCATTTTCTCGGTGAGCCCCGGAGGCTCCCTGACACCCTCTCTCCCTACGGTTGGCGGTTTTTATCGTTCAAGAAGTGGAGTGGTGGGCTGCCAGCTCAGGTGAGCCGGTTTCCCCCCCTTTCCCCCTATTAGGGAGGTGTAGCACTAACGAGCAGGAGTGCTAGCTGCATGAACTTTTGCTTATTGGGTTTCTTTCTAGGGAGAGTTATTTTGATCTTTTCGGATATAGATTGCAAAGGTTAACCAGACAGTGGTCTGTTTTGATTTGGCTACCGTTCTGGGTCCTTCCTTGGTTGATGGCAATTATGACATACATTAAATGTAAAGTGCTCATAGGCCATTTGCTTCCTGCACCGTTCTGAGGAGGGCCAGTTTCCAGCTCGTGGTCCCCGGTAGGCATAAAGGCTCCTGTGACTGACGATCCCAAACTAATATAGCACATATCAGTTCAAATAGCTTCAGGAAGCCTCCGGGGCTCACCCAGAAAATGGTGTTCATTACATTCAACGCTGGTTGTGTGTACCATAAATCTTAGTGTCAAATATGACATTTAAGATTTATGGTCAAGTAGGAAGTAACAATGATATTGAGGACTTGCCAAGAGATCTACATGAACTTCACAAATGGTCAGAAGACTGGGAACTGTATAAATCTCTGGTGCCCGTCTTACAGTATTGTATCCAAGCATGGAGACCTTGTCTTCAAAAAGACATATGCTTTGAAGAAAAATCCAATGACAAAGCATTCCTGAATTAAGTCAACTCTCATACCAGGAATGGTTAAGGGCTACAGGGTGCCAACACTGCAAACCAGACATGACAGGGCTGATCTAATCAAAACTTTTAAAATACTGTACAGAACAATTTGGAGGATGCTGATCCAGAACACTTCTTCAAAAGGTTAGATGTAACATGAACAAGGAGCAACAGTTTTAAGCTCAACAAGCCACAATGCAGGATGGAAAACAGGAGATACTTTTTCACCCATAAAGTTATAAACTCATGGAACTGCCTACCCGCTGAAGCTATATGTGCCCAAAAAACTGCTGAATTTAACAGTCCCATTAAACAAAATCATCAGGACAAATTGGGAACCTTCGACAAGCTGCTGGCTTCCTGTCCTCATCAAGGCCCTGTTGAAAAACAGAGGTGCAATAGGTACCCTGAGGGAGAACTCTATCAACATTAAGGGCCCAAGACTTTTCAACACTCTCCCACTACACATAAGGGGCATAACTGACCGATCCCTCAGTGTTCAAGAGAGAGAGAACTCAACAAACGCCTCCAAAGAATACCTGATTAACCAGGCTGCGATTTGTACATCAGGCTGCGAGCAGTCGCATCCAACAGCCTGGTTGACTAGACGACCAACCGGGAGGCCTGGTCAGAGACTGGGACGCAGGGCTGTTGATCCCCAGAAGCTAAACGGGGTCTGCCTACCTTGTGGCAGGTAGGCATACCAAGGTAGGTATTAGGTATCCCTAAAGGTATATCTAATTATCTAGCCTATTTGGCAGTATTTATATAATGAGAGTTGGTGAAATGCTCACCTCTGGTACAGTGATAGCATAAGGCAGTCCGGAGAAAATAGGAGCATTGTCGTTGATATCAGTGATGCGGACAATGACGGGGATGGTGCGCACCTCACCAGAGCTCCGGATGGTACACGACACCTGTCAACAAACATTACCAAATTAATTCATAAATAATGAGATAATGTCATGCATTTTTTCAAATTAAAGTTTTTTGCAATATTACCGTATATAATTAGAGTACAATACTTTTCTTAAGGATATTAATCCTCCAATTGCAGCCAACTGACTTCCCTGGCTGTAGTGTGTGGGAAATATCCCACACACACACTGTCCTCAGTGAGCTAAATAATAAATATAAAAATACACCCTCAATGTACCAAACAAGCCCACATAAAATTAATAAATCCTTAGTCAGACAGAGTACCAGAATCATGGAGGGTTGCTAATGTTGTGCCAATTTTTAACAAAGGTGATTGATCACTTTTTTTTTCTTTTTTTTCAGGGAAATTTCTGCGTGGGCCCTAAGCCTCTGGCTGGCCCACTAAGTGTTGCTTGTTTCTGTTTTACTTAGGCAAAGTGTGAGTATTTATGACTGGTCGCTTCAGTAAGATTTTGCCCTGTGTGTTTAACAACTTCTGCTCTGTTGAATCTAAGTTTAAATCTTATTGGGATGGTAACTGTGTACTGTGTTAGATAATGTTCCAGTGGTTTGTCGGGCATTTCTCCACAGTATTGACATTTCCTCTCATCTTCTGGAATCTGTAAGCCTATTTCCCATGCACATGGGTATGCAAGCCTGATGCGATGTAAGTGTACTTCTGCTGTTCTACTGCTCCCTTTCATCAAAATAAGCGTAGTTGGTTGAAATCTTGTACCAACCCGCAGATCCTGATGTTGCAACTGCTGTGTTGTGGTCACCGTACATCATCTACATTGCTCTATTTCTAATTACTTTTTTAATCTGTGATAGACTCTGTGGTATATAAATGTCTACATTTCTTCCCTTAGTTGCAAGTTTTGCAGCTTTGTCTGCAATGTCATTTCCTATTATTCCCACATGACTTGGCACCCAGTTGATAAGTACCCAACGGCCTTTACGTTTGAGTGTTTGTATTAATGATATTACATTTGTTATCAGAAAGATGTTGTCATGTATGTGTTTTTGTTGCAAGGTTTCAATGGCAGTTCTCGAATCTGTACGTATGATTACATGTTGTCAGGGTTCAGCAAGAGCATGTTCCAAACCCTTTTGAATGGCTAGCACCTCTGCTTGTAAAGTTAAACACCCGTTTGAGAGTCTCCAACTATTTACAGAGTTGATCACTTGTGTCTAACTATAGGCCAATTACCTTAATGTCTATTGTGGGAAAATTGCTTGAATCAATAATTGCAAAAGCCATTAGTCTACATCTTGAAAGACATAGGTTAATAAATGATCTAGAACATGGGTTTACTAAAGGGTGCACATGTTTGACAAAATTGCTATCATTTTATCCTTTTATTTCAGCATAATTGAGGCAGATGATGGTGGAAAGGTTTGTGACATTATGTACCTTGACTTTATTAAAGCCTTTGATGCAGTGCCACACGAAAGATTGATTAAAAAGATATTTAGAAAAAAGTTTAAAGATTTTGGTGGTGTACCACTGAGATATGTAAAATAAAACGAAAATTCTGAATAAAGCATATTTCTAACAAATTAAGAGCAGCCGCAAAACAAAAAATAAGAATTGAACATTCCATTCACCTGGGCTCTAGGAGACTTTAACCGTGGACCCCATGCATGTGAGGCCCAAGCTCTAACGACGGAGCTATTGAGTAGTCTCGTGGGGTCCAGGTTCGAGTCTCCTAGACCCCCAGGCGAATGGAATGTTCATTTCCACGGAAGTGTGGATGACAATATATAAGAACTGAACCCTAGGCTTCATCCCAAGCACCAGTGAAGGGTAGTTAAGCACTACAAGCACAGCGCCCGTCTCATTGTATACACGCATACAGCCCACCTACAGGAAGACATTTCATCACTTGGTAAAGTTCAACAAAGCAGGGTGACAAAAGTCATACTGGAGGTATTTTAAGTGACCTCGCATACTTGTAGAGGCTGAAGGTTATATAGATAGTTCCCCACACAAGGCACCACACGCCTCATACACCACACATTCCTGCCGAATGCCCGAAACGCTGCGCGTACTAGTGGCTTTACAAGAATGTAATTACTATGCTATGTATCCTCACAATTCCAATGTACCTTCTTGTATATAAATAAATAAATAAACATTTACAATATTCAATACATTTCTTAACTTATACTCTGACTTGACCACTTTTTCCAAGATGTCTAACGGTACACGAGAGGTAAAGACTAGTAAAGCTTGCCAAGCCCCAGCACACAACAGGAAATACTACTCACAGAATAATATTACAAAATGGTCAATAATGAAGGAATACTCGGGACAAAAGTTGAAGTAGAGAGAACGAGAAACTGTTTTCAAGGAGAGTACTAATTGCTCCGGCTAGGGGACCACGAGAGGCGGAGGCCACTAGAGAGGCGGGGACCACTAGAGGCGGGGTCCACTAGAGGCGGGGTCCACTAGAGGCGGAGGCCACTAGAGAGGCGGGGGCCACAGGTACACACCCACATAACAGACTATCTGATCGCTGGTCTGACAGCTCGCAAGAAGTAGACTTTCGTAAGGAGAACTTTGAAGAAATGCCTCAAATGCTCTATCACGCATTTCCTGCATGGACGTACACTCGCATAACTGTGGTTGTGAGGGTTGACATCCACCTTCTGGGGCCCTCCTCAAGAATTAAACTGTTTGTGTGACACACCAACGACCCACGGTAGAGGGAGTCTGCCTTCTGCCCTTCCATGAGAGGATAGGTCCTGCCCTTCCATGAGAGGATAGGTCCTGCCCTTCCATGAGAGAATAGGTCCTGCCCTTCCATGAGAGGATAGGTCCTGCCCTTCCATGAGAGGATAGGTCCTGCCCTTCCATGAGAGGATAGGAAGTCAAGTTGATATCCAAGCCATGTGGTGGACACGTGTTCTGTGTCAAGCCTGGCCAGGCCTCACAAGTCAAGCCCGGCCAGGCCTCACAAGTCAAGCCCGGCCAGGCCTCACAAGTCAAGCCCGGCCAGGCCTCACAAGTCAAGCCCGGCCAGGCCTCACAAGTCAAGCCCGGCCAGGCCTCACAAGTCAAGCCCGGCCAGGCCTCACAAGTCAAGCCTGGCCAGGCCTCACAAGTCAAGCCTGGCCAGGCCTCACAAGTCAAGCCTGGCCAGGCCTCACAAGTCAAGCCTGGCCAGGCCTCACAAGTCAAGCCTGGCCAGGCCTCACAAGTCAAGCCCGGCCAGGCCTCACAAGTCAAGCGTGGCCAGGCCTCACAAGTCAAGCTTGGCCTCGGGCCGGGCTTTAGGAGTAGAAGAACTCCTAGAACCCCATCAAGCAGCAGAATACTGAAAAGATTTACTGAACAAAAAATTGTACCACTTACGGGCTATTCATGCCCATGCCACCTGTTGGGTGGCTTAATCTTTATCAATCAATCATCAAGCAGATATCAAGCAAATAGGAAGGGGTGGCGGGAGAGCGCAAGGAGCCGCCCCAAGAAGATTAGGAGAGTCAAATTGTGCGTGTGTCGCCTCCCAGCGTGGGTACTGGTACGGGTCTTCACCACTGTGCCAATATCCCCAGCACCATTCTCACCAGGAAACACAACAGCAGCAGCAACACAAACACTGGCAGCAATACAACAACAGTACAAGTAGCATCAGCAACTGTAGCAGCAGTAAAGACAAACAAAAAATGAAAAATACAAAGAAAAATAGAAGAGGAAATAAGAAAGAAGAATCAGACAAATAAAGATTTAAAAAATAAGAATAATAAAACAAAAGAGCAAGAAATATCAGTAGATATTTTATTATATGTAGATATTTTATTATATATATATATATATATATATATATATATATATATATATATATATATATATATATATATATATATATATATATATATATATATATATATATATATATATATATATATATATATATATATATATATATATATATATATATATATATATATATATATATATATATATATATATATATATATTATATATCATAAAACCTATCACACGTTCATTCCTAACATGACTGACAATACAATATATAGCGTCACGGATAAGTAGGTTCTTCCACACTCCAGCAGTCATCCACAGCAGCAGCAGCAGCAGCAGCGCTCCACAACACCAGGTAGGTGTACAGTGCTCCTCTTGAAGGATCAAATACATTATATAAATACATTACATACATCACATTCCAGCGGGTCATGTCCCTCAGGACCCTGGCCGTATGCCTTGTGTTGGCCACACTCGCTCTCACTCCGGCAAGTGGAGAGGAAGACTCATAGCTCACAGCCCAGATACCCGGGTTCAATCCCCGGCCAGGTGAAAGAGACGGTTGGACATTTTCCTTTCACCTGATGCACCTGTTCACTCAGAAATAAATAGGTACCCTGGAGTTGGGCAAATATTGCAGGTTATGTCCTGGATAAGGTCAGTAGCTGGCTTAGAGGGACCTGGATAAACTTGACCTCGACAACGGGAATTAAACCCAGAACACGTGTCCACCACATGGCTTGGATCACAGCTTAAGCGTCCGTTGAGATCACCAGCTTCACAACTCTCCGACCTTCAATAGGAACCTACGGTAACTGTTCACTATATTCCCCCTTGGAAATATGTGCAGGTCTTGATACATTATACACCCATCAGCGTAAAACAAATCCATAACGTTGGAGGCATGAGACGAATAACACTAGAGGCAAGAAACTATAGGCTAGAATTTATCTAGAATTAAGAATATTTTTGTATGATAATTGTATATCATCTACATGAAACCAGTATTAGAGTATACAGCACCAGCACGAAACTTAAAAGCCAATAGGGCACTCGACGAAACTTTAGGAGTTTTGCTAAAAAGTAGGCATCACAACTGTGGCATAGGCTATAAAAAGTAGGCATAATAACTGTGGCATAGGCTATAAAAAGTAGGCATCACAACTGTGGCATAGGCTATAAAAAGTAGGCATCACAACTGTGGCATAGGCTATAAAAAAGTAGGCATAA